AAAGGGTAATAGATGAGATATGGTAAAACTCTGAACATTATTTCTTAGGCCTGGGTGGATGGTGTGGGTATTAATTATACAGTCCCCACTGCTGTGTATATTTGCATATTTGAAAGTTCCATTAAGGGGAAAAAAAAATAAATGAATTCCTAAAACACCTGGCTTTAGAAAATATTGCATATAAAAACTTCTAGGAAAAGGGGGACAGGTAATTGGAGAGTTACAGAATTTCAACCTATGGTTAACGAATTTTTTCCCCTAAAGTACTTTCATAAAACAAGGTATTCCAAGAGCTATACAAATCCAAATAACAGAGCATTTAGTTCTGACTTTTGCTCTAAAGAAAAAGCTTTAGTAGTTATAAATATATGGCCAATTTTCCTAGTGCCCCCAAGTCTTTGGAGGAACACTTCTTAAACAGTCCCTCCCTTGTTGTCACCCATTGTTACAATAAAGCACAAAGCCACTCAGCAAAGCAGCTGCACAATGCTTACAGCAGCTGTTTTTTCCTGCAGCAGCACTCATTTCCTATCATGACAGCAACCAAGTGGTCAGCACAATGGAAGGATAAAACGCCTACATTTTCTTTTTTTCAATACATGCATTGCCAACTTTAAAAATTTGTGTACGCTAAAAGTCTGTATATTAAGTTAAATATATGAGCTCTTTAAAGTGAAGCTATTTATAAAGCAAAATTCTATACATTTAAAAGTTCTGATTATATACATGTAAACACACCTTATTCTTAAATTGATGCAAATGAGGCACACTCATGTTGTATAGTCCAAGTTACTATAACGCTCACCTTGAGATGTTTTCCCATCCAGGGGAAGAAAGGTTCCGAAAAACTTCCCTTTGCCTTAAATCATCACTTGAGGAATCCCCAGGATACTGTCCCTGATTAAAACCAGCGGGCTGCTCTGTGGATTCGGCCACCTAAATAAGTGTGACATGAACACAGAAAAAAAGGAGCTGATGCAATTGTCTGAAATCAAGCGAAAAAAAATTATTTTGCTGTCAATGGCTTATGTCTCGTACCCTCCACCTCTGAACATGACAATATTAAATAGAAGCAACATTTTGTAAAAAATATTCCGACATTTAGTCAACACAATTTTCAACACAGATACTAAAATATTCATATTTTTCTCTAGAGTAACTATGCTACACTTTCATTAAAATCTTCCAATGAAGTTATCATTGGTGAGAAAGCTTTCTGATAATGCTGTTAAGTTTGCTCATCGCAGAAATTTGACCAACAAAATTTATAAATATAACCCAGCCCACAACTTTCTAAAATAGTATTCCAATACAAGTCCGTCTTGGTATGATACTGTTTTTGATCATCTTTTAAAAATTACAGTATATGGAAATGAAACGATAAAGTGCCTTTAAGATTTTTGTTAGATCTGATAATGGCAAAATAGGGAATTTCCTATGTTCTGTTCAGATATTTTAGGAAATACAAATTTAGAATGCATCACTCCATTAGAATACTAATACCATATATGTGAATAAACATTGTAAAATGAAAAATAAATGCTTTTGTCTGTCATATATGAGTCTTTAGAGCCAGGTCCAGTGGCACATGCCTCTAGTCCCAGCTACTCAGGAGGCTGAGGTGGGAGGATCGCTTGCCCTCAGGAGGTTGAGAAAAGCCTAGGCAACACAGTGAGACCAACTTAAAAGAAAAATTCTTTATTGATCACTTGATAAAGGCTCTGACCTTTTCCTATCCAACTAATTACAATGAAAATTTCCAAAGGAAATATATTCACTTTTATACTCTTTATAAAAATTAATGGCTCCAGCCAGACGTGGTGGCTCACATCTGTAATCCCAGCACTTCGGGAGGCCAAGGTGGGCAGATCACGAGGTCAGGAGTTTGAGACCACCCTGGCCAACATGGTGAAACCCCATCTCTACTAAAAATACAAAAAATTAGCCAGGCATGGTGGCACGTGCCTATAATCCCAGCTATTCTGGAGGCTGAGGCTGGAGAATTGCTTGAACCCAGGAGGCAGAGGTTGTGGTGAGCAGAGATCATGCCATTGCATTCCAGGCTGGGTGACAGAGCAAGACTTCGTCTCAAAAAAAAAAAAAAAAAAAATTAATGGTTCCTTCGAAGAAACCTCCTATGTGCTAAATTCAATAAAAACCCAGTTAGTGTTAGTTCAGTAATCTAGATACGAAGTAACCGTAGATCAAATCACATCCCAGAAGATAGTGCAATATGTAACTCCTAACTCCACTTTTCTACTACAGTGCTAATGGAACAATTTGCTACATTAACCCATCACTGTGTTGATAATACAGTTTCTAATTCCTAGGAAAGAATGAAAATATTACTTGGTAATAACGTCATACAGTCTCTCAATAACAGTTTTATCAAACTTCTTAATCCCTTAAAAGTCTGAATGATGCAAACTGTTATCATCATGAAGAAGCAGACACACCTTGGCACTGATTTCTGGCATTTTTGAAGGATTCTTCACATTGCACACCAGATGCAAAACATGCCGTTTTTCCTGCTAAAAGTAAAAAGAAGGTACTTAAGGACCTGAACCTAACCTGGTGAGTGCTTAAAAATATTCAGAAATTAATGTTTAAGTGATGTACCTTTGGAAGCAAGTCCCTGAGACATTGGTGATCCAACAACAGCTTGCCAGAATAAATTAACCTCTGGTCCTCTGGATGCTGATCATGGAAAGAAAGAGTAACAAAGGTCAGCATTTCACTCCCAGAAGTTCCCAAACACAGAATAAACTGTTTTATACAAATAATTTGAATATGTATGTTTCCCCCCAGCATCACGGGAAAACTTTTTCAAAGGCTCCATATACAAAACTTCTATTTAGAAAGTATCTAACTGGTCTCTAACATGCAAATAAATACAGAATGGCAAATTATCGGCTGGGCACGGTGGCTCATGCCTGTAATCCAGGCACTTTGGGAGGCCAAGGTGGGCAGATCACCTTAGGTCAGGAGTTCGAGACCTGCCTGGCCAACATGGTAAAACCCTGCCTCTACTAAAAATGCAAAAATTAGCTGGGCATGGTGGCTTGCACCTGTAATCCAAGTTACTCGGGAGGTTGAAGCAGGGGAATTGTTTGAACCCGGGAGGCAGATGCTGCAGTGAGCCCAGCTCATGCCACTGTACTCCAGCCTGAGTGACAGAGTGAGACTCTATCTCAAAAAAAAAAAAAAAAAGGTAAATTATCTCCAGTCCAAACCTATGTAGGGCAACATACTTCTTAACTCCCAGGTAAACTGATTTTCATTACTGATTTTTCATAACAACAACAAACAGCAAACAGGGCTCCTACAGCAGCTGAGTTTGGTTTCAGAAAAAACTCAGAGTACTCCCAAGGCTAGCCTTCACCAAAACCACCTAGCAGTGCCCCAAAATAATATGAAGCTATTCTAAACTTAAGCCTTCATAGAGGATTTCTTGGCATACAAATGCAGTTATAGAGGAAATGGTGTGTGGGTGACATTATACACAACAACCCTGTGAGATTCAGTATCCTTACTTTAAGGGAGGAAAGTCTGAAAAATTTTCTTGTCCAAGGTCATCTGCTGCCACAGTGTCACAATTCCAAACCCTCTTCCCCTCCCTATCAGCGATTTTAACGCCATAGGGACTGCACATGCACACTCTTTTATACAAATCTCATTTAAAAAATCTCTCTGAGGCCGGGCGTGGTGGCTCATGCCTGTAATCCCAGCACTTTGGGAGGCCGAGGCGGGTGGATCACGAGGTCAAGAGATGGAGACCATCCTGGTCAACATGGTGAAACCTTGTCTCTACTAAAAACACAAAAAAATTAGCTGGGCATGGTGGCGTGTGCCTGTAGTCCCGGCTACTCGGGAGGCTGAGGCAGGAGAACTGCCTGAACCCAGGAGGCGGAGGTTGCGGTGAGCCAAGATCGCGCCATTGCACTCCAGCCTGGGTAACAAGAGCAAAACTCCGTCTCAAAACAACAACAACAACAAAAATAAATAAAAAAATAAAAAATCTCTTTGAAACTTCTAAACTGTACTTAAAAGTAATGGCCTCAAATATTAACATATAATCTATCCGTTGGAGATCAGCAACGTGTAAATCTACTCTTGCCAGGATAACTGATTATGCAAAACCTGGAATAAAGATGTTCCTGCCAACTAGCTTGAGATAATTAAAGCAAGCTGTTTAAAACAAACAAAGCCAAAAGTCCATCTACTTATCCATATACATCAGGACTTTTTGACACTGTAACTAAACCAAAATATACTGAATGCTGTGTTCACCATTTTTCTCACTGACAGGTGAGAACTTTAAAGGTAAATGCTTATACATGAATTTGTAAAACAGTATCTATTATATATGTATGGTCCTGCGTTTATTACAGAGTTCAACCGCTAGAAAAGGCTTGAAAACCACAGCTGCCAGTGGTTTTGAATTATTTTCCCCCTTTTAAAGGCCTAACTTGACATTGAGTCTTCACGCAGATGGCCGATTTGAGAAAAAATTAAGCACAACTATTACAAAGTAGGGCTTCTCACAGTATACCATTTTCTACCACGGGAAACAAATGATAAATATGTTTCAGCCCTAATACACAAATTTGTATACCTGAGAGGTATTTGTTTACAATCTTAGGTCTTCAGACTGAAGAGATGGGAGTGGCGTCCCTCACCAAAGCAAGCCCTTAAAAAAAACCCTTCTCAGAAACCCTGCCTTTTACCATGTGATGCAACCACAAGCAACACCTGCTGCACCAATTTGTGTACCCAACAGACATTCTCATGGCAACACAGCCACCCAGTTTCTGGACGCAGCTCTGGTGAAACCGAAAAGTGTACCCGGGTGAATTCCACAGGACATGGAATACACCCTTACTAAATAAATATGCAAATTTCAAAATAACAACTCAGAAGGAAAACTCACTTCTACCTTCTTGACCACATGGAACAAAAACAGACACAGGTGAGTTCCAACCAAAAGTTGGAACTCACGGTTACACGATCTTTTCCTGCCTGGATGCCCTCTCCTGTGTGATGGAGAATTATGCTCGTGGGCAGTGAAGAACACTGCTGACACTTACATAATATCGGAGCAGAAAGTAAATACAGGAAGGGCCAGCTTACAGCCTCATCACGTGGCGGCCAGGGCAGGCGGTGCTAAGGGTGAGGCTGACAGATGTGTCAACCAAAACAAAGCGAGGAAGTCTCGCTAATAATCGAGAGGCTGCCGTCCTAAAACCAGACTGAAGGCGACTCCTGCCTGCTTCCCTTATCAGTCGCTCTTGGCCAGAAAGTGCACGGGGCTCCACCCCGGGACTCGGCAACGGCTGCGCGGTCCAGTGCGACAGGGAGGGGCCCGGCGGAAGGTGGACAGGGAGGAGAAGAGCCACGTCCTGCTTCTGGGTGTGGGGCCTTCCGTCCACAGTGTCTGGGCGCTCCCCAGGTTTCTCAAGCCACGGCCCCGGGTGGCACCTGCCCACTTCTCTCCCCGCGGGAAGGCTGCGTTCACAACCCTCATTTTGCAGCACGGACGTTTTCTTACTCGTAGCCATTGGGTGCAAGCCCAGTTAGGAAAACCGAGTTGCCTGACCGCAGCGGGGAGGCAGGCTTGGAGGGTGAAACGACTCGCCCAAGGTCAGGCTGCTGATTAGTGACGGTCCCTGGGCAAGAGAGGGGCGCCCGCGGCGGCGGGGCAGGGAAGGGGAGACCAGAGCCCTGGGGCACGTGACCGACCGGGCGAACTCAGCCGTCTGGGGGAGGCCGGCGGAGGGGAGGCCACAGGGCAGGGCAGGCGGACGTGGCGTCCCTAGCGGAGGGCTGGGGGCCACCGCCTCGGGGCGGGAAGTCGGGGCGGCTCTCACCGGACGCTCGGGGTAGACACGGCTCAGGTGGGCCTTGAGGTGGCCCACGCTCCAGCTGCGGTCGCCGCTCAGCTCCAAGTCGCGGTGGCGCTGGTTGGGGCTCTTCACCAGGAGCGTGACGGGCTCGGGATCGGGCTCGGACTCCATGGCGGCGGCTGTGTCGGGGCTCAGCTGCGCTCCGAGGTGCCAGGCAGGCGGCGTCGCAGCCGCCCACAAACTCCGCAACGACTGTTGGCGTCTCTGGGGCGCGCGCCCCCGTCTCGGGAGCCTTTTATAGGCTTCCCGCGCCCGGCTCTGCGGACAGAACCCTCTGTGGCTGCCGCCCATTGGCTGAGGCGGAGACACTGTCCTAACGTGGCCCAATCGGCGTCCGGACCCGGGAGGCAGAGGGCGGACCAAGCACGTGGGCGCGGGCTGATGCAACCCGCCGCGGCTGCGTCACCCTGAGGCTCGGCTGCGCCCCGGGAACCTGGGTTTGGCGGCCATGTTTGGGTGCGCTGCAGACCGCGCGGATCGCGCGGGGCCTTGGCCTGAGATTTGCGGGGCCCCCAGCTCGGGTGACTGAGGGCGCCCGAGGCAGGGGGTGGGGAGTGGTGTGTCCCAGCAGACCCCAGTTTAGCAGTCTCTGCAAATTGTTTCCTCACAAAGCTGCACCCCCGCCCTTTCTCACCCCAGGTGCCAGTGCCCACTTCCCCTTTTCCTGCCTCAGGTGGCCCCACATGGAACCTACGGGGGAAGCCCGTCCTACAGGGGAAGCCCCTCCACCCGACCCTCAAAGAACAGGTGGGCGACCCGTGTGCAAGTCCATCCAGGAGAACATCACGTGCTCATAAGAAGGACAACGAAGGAGCGAGGCCCGATCTTCCTTGGGCTGAGAGGATGGAGGCATCCAGGCAGCTGTTGCCAGTTTCCGCGGGCTTCAGACTTGCACGTTTGGGACATCACCTTTATGATGATTGACAAGTCAGCCACAGCCCTGCTCACAGTGGGAGTCCCTCCCAAAAGGGCATTACTTTATAAGATACACATGCACCCTTTATTGGGGCTGAGACAAGGAGGGCAGGGTTCGCTCATTCCTGAAGTGGGACCACAAAGGCCTCTCTATTGTAGGCATTCCCTCCTCCTCTGTAGGAAAAAAAAAAAAGTCTTGAAAAACAAAACTGACATTGCCCTGGCCCCCTCCTTGTTCCAACCCCGTTGGGACATCTGTTTTTTCAGGTGTTGTCAGGAGCTTGGCAAGGGCAGGAAGGTAACAGAAGGAGCCTGGTCTGGTTGGTGGGCCTGTTCACCTGCTGCAGCTGCCATAACAAAGTGCCACAAACTGGATGGGTTAAGACAGGGTCCCCAGCCCCCCGCCAGGCCACGGACCCCTAAGAGTCCCTGGCCTGTTAGGAACCAGGTGGCACCGCAGGAGGTGAGCCACCAGCGAAGCTTCATCTGTATTTACAGCTGCTCCCTATCGCTACATTACCACCTGAACGCTGCCACTTGTTAGATCAGGGCGCATTAGATTCTCATAGGAGATGGTCCCTATTGTGAACTGTGCATGCGAGAGAACTAGATTGTGCTCCGTACAAGAGTTTACTGACTGATGATGGGAGTGGAGCTGAGGTGGTGATGCTAGTGCTGGGAGTGGCTGCAGATCCGATTAACATTAGCAGAGAGGTTTCACTGCACAGAGACCATCATAAATCAATTGCTTGCAGACTCACCTCAAAACCCTATCAGTGAGTGGCAAGTGACAAGCTGCATCTTGTGGCAGACTTTATAGTGGCAAGTGAGTGTATGTACTTCAGTTGTACAGCTGCGTCTGGTGGCCTTCAAAGTATGTTTGAGACAACTTCAGCTCTCCACATGTTCTGGATTAAAGTCTAGGCAGAGAATCCTGAGATGGTCACAAAGGCACTGAAAAGCCTGCTTCCATTTCCAACATCCTTTTTTTTTTTTTTTTTTTTTTAAATTGAGACAGGGTCTAAAGCTGTAGCCCAGACTAGAGTGCAATGGCACAATCTCAGCTCACTGCAACCTCTGCCTCTCTGGTTCAAGGGATTCTTGTGCCTCATGCCTCTGTCTCCCGAGTAGCTGGGATTACAGGCATGCACCACCACATTTGGCTATATATTTTTTGTATTTTTAGTAGAGATAGATGGGGATTTGCTGTGTTGGTCAGGCTGGTCTTGAACTCCTTGCTTCAAGTGATCCACCTGCCTTGGTCTCCAGAAGTGCTGAGATTACAGGTGTGAGCCACCACGCCTGGCCTATTGCAACATCCTGTCTCTGTGAAGCAGGGTTTTCTGCAGTGACAGCAACCAAAATGAATAGACTCAACATAAGCCACATACTTTGGGTGTTACTGTCTCCCATCATCCCCCACTGGGACCATCTAGTTGTGGGAAAACAAGCTCGGGGCTCCCACTGATTCTGCATTATGGTGAGTTGTATAATTATTTCATTATATATTACCATGTGATAATAATAGAAATAAAGTGCACAATAATGTAAAGCTCGGGTCATCCTGAAACCATCCCCCCACCCCACCCCTGGTCTTCCACAAAACTGGTTCCTGGTGCCAAAAAGGTTGGCGACTGCTGGCTTAAGAAACAGAAATGTATTGTCTTGGTTCTGGAAGCTGGAAGTCTGAGATCAAGGTGTCGGCGGGGTTGGTTCCTTCTGAGGCCTTCGGGGAGAAATTTCCAGGCCCCTCTCCTATCCTGGTGGTTTGCTGGCACTCTTTGACGTTCGTTGGCATATAGAAGCATCGCCCAACCTGCCTTCATCTTCTCGTGGGTTCTCCTTGTGTGGGTCTCTTCACATCATTTTCCCTGTGGGCATGGCTGGCTGCGTGTCCACATTTCCTCTTTTCAGAAGAGTACCAGTCGTAGTGGATTAGGACCCACACTAGTAACCTCATCTTAACTTGATCATCTGCAAAGGCCCTATTTTCTAGTACTGCCACATTCACAGGTACTGAGGGTTAGCACTTCAGCATCTCTTTGGAGGACTCAATTCAGCCTGCAATAGTCAACCTTGATATAACACAGAATACAGGGTTGTTTCTTGAACTCCCGACCTCAGGTGATCCACCCGCCTTGGCCTCCAAAGTGGATGGTTTACAAGCGTGAGCCACCGCGCCCGGCCTAGGGTGGTTACTTTCTCAGCTGTCTTCATATTAAGATGAGAGGTTGAGGACTTTGGAAATAAATTGTCCCCACACACAGTTTTCTGTGATTGGTTTTGGTCTGCTGAGAAGGCTCTGACCTTTTTTTTTGTTTTGGGGGGGGGTTTTTTTTTAGATGGAGTCTTGCTCTTGTTGCCTAGGCTGGAGTGCAGTGGCACAATCTCGGCTCAATGCAATCTCCACCTCCAGGGTTCAGGCAATTCTCCTGCTTCAGCCTCCCAAGTAGCTGGGACTACAGGCGTGGGCCATCACACCTGGCTAGTTTTTGAATTTTTAGTAGAAACAGGGTTTCACCACGTTGGCCAGGCTGGTCTCGAACTCCTGACTTCAAGTGATCTGCCTGCCTCAGCCTCCCAAAGTGCTGGGATGACAGGTGTGAGCTGCCGCTTCCAGCATAACCCTTTTTTCATCAAACTGGCTTCATGAGTGTGGGACCCACGTAGTGGATGGGGCCCCCTGCTTGGTTTAATGCTCTGCTGTTATCATCTTTAAATTAATAAATTTTAAACAGAAGCCCTGCATTTCATTTTGCACTGGGCCCCACAAATTCTGTCTTAAGGCAAGCAGATTACTTCAGGCCAGGAGTTCGAGACCAGCCTGACCAACATAGTGAAACCTCGTCTGTACTAAAAATATAAAAAAATTAGTTGGGTGTGGTGGCGGGCACCTGGAATCCCAGCTACTTGGGAGGCTGAGGCAGGAGAATTGCTTGAACCTGAAAGGCAGTGGTTGCAGTGAGCTAAGATTGCGCCACTGCACTCCAGTCTGAGAGACAGAGCGTGACTCAATCTCAGAGAAAAAAGAAATTTGCTGATTCTGCGTATAGCACATTTAGGAAAATGTTAAATTCAGTCAACAAATTTCACACATCAGGATGGGAGATAATGACTGATTATGATCTGGTAGTCTTGCAACTGGGGAGAAGCTAACCAGTGGAGCAAGCCCAGGTAAAGCAAACACAGGCCTTACAGGAGGCGGCTAGACAGGAGGTAACAGCTGCATTGAGAAATCAAGTATGCCAGTAGTGTGGTTTCCCCTAGCCTGCAGGGAAAAGCCTCAAAGACCCCTAAGACATTAAGATAGTTCAACCCTTTCCAGTCAGAAAAAAGTTCAGGAGTGTGGTTTTGCATTTTCTAACCCGAGGGAAAAGGCAATCCAAGTTCTGTGATTCTCTGTTGAGTTAACTCCCAATCAGATAGCTCCTTTTAAACAAATCTGGGGATGGGAGCAGTGGCTCATTCCTATAATCTCAGCACTTTGTAGGGGCCGAGGCAAGCAGATCACTTCAGGCCAGGAGTTCAAGACCAGCCTGGCCAACACAGTGAAATCTCGTCTCTACTAAAAATAGAAAAAAATTAGTCATACATGGTAGCAGGCGCCTTTAATCCCAGCTACTCGGTGGCTGAGGCAGGAGAATTGCTTGAACCTGGAAGGCAGTGGTTGCAATGAGCTGAGATCGCACGCCTACATTCCAATCTGGGAGACAGAGCAAGACTCAGTCTCAAAACAAAAAAATAGAAAAAAGATATGTGGTGATTCTGCTTATCACACATTTGGGAAAATGTTAAATTCAGGTCAACAAATGTACCAGGAATAGAAAAATAAACACCATGTGACCCTACTCTGAATGACCTCACAAATATAATGAGGATGATAACAAAAATACAGAAATAAAAGACAATCCAAAAGTCTAATACACCTCTGAAGGACTTATGATTACATTGAGAAAGGAAGAGAGGGAGTCAGAGAAAACGTGATGGAAGAGGTAGAATTTGAGCTGAATTCTGAGAGACGGGTGAGACTGGAATAAAAGCAAAAATGACAGCAATTACTGACTAAGCACCATGGCGTGCCAGTGACTTTATATGCAGAATTTGTATGGGCAGGTATAGCTGTGCGGTTACACTCATGGGCCCAGAGCCCAGTTGCTTGTTTTCAAACCCAGCTTTTGCCACTTACTATGTGACGTTAAGCAAGTTACTTAACCTCTCTACCTAATTTTCCTCATCTGTAAAATAGGAAGAATAATAATAATATCTGTGTCATATGGTTTTTGTGAGGCTTAAATAGTACAAAATTGTTAAAGTTCTTGGGACAGACCCAGACATTTACCAAGTGCTCAATAAATTAATATTTAGATTAATATTTAGAGGACTGTAACACGTTCCATCCAGTGGTTCCCAAATCTGGCCATGCAACAAAATCACCCAGGAACTCTTTTTTTTTTTTTGAGATGGAGTCTCACTCTTGTCGCCCAGGCTGGAGTGCAGCGGCGTGATCTCTGCTCACTGCAACCTCCGCCTCCTGGGTTCCAGTGAGTCTCCTGCCTCAGCTTCCCAAGTAGCTGGGATTACAGGCACCTGTCACCACATCCAGGTAATTTTTTTGTATTTTTAGTAGAGACGGGGTTTCTCCATGTTGGTCAGGCTGGTTTCAAAGTCCTGAACTCAGGTGATCCGCCTGCCTCAGTCTCCCAAAGTGCTGGGATTACAGGAATGAGCCACCATGCCCGGCCAGGGTATACCTTTAAATACGAATAATGAACACATCAGTATCATTATAATAATGATAACATCAGATAATCATGAGTGGTAAGACTGGAAGAAAGTCTTGTGGCCAGCTCAGAAGCCTTTGAATGGTCACCCTTGGGAGTTTGAGCCTTATTTTGTGAACAATGGGAGGTTTTTGAGCAGTGGAAGGGACAGATCAGAATCAGTATGGATCCACATCATTATGGAGGGTGGGGAGAGACTTGAGGCCAGAGACTGACCAGTTCATTCAAGAGGAAATGTGGGCCAGGTGTGGTGGCTCATGCCAGTAATCCCAGCACTTTGGGAGGTTGAGGTGGGTGGATCACTTGAGGTCAGGAGTTCAATACCACCTGGCCAACGTGGTGAAACCCCGTCTTTACTAAAAATACAAGAATTTTCTGGGCATGGTAGCACACAACCAGCATTTTGGGAGGCTGAGGTGGGAGGATTGATTGAGGCTAGGAGTTGATGACCATCCTGGACAACATGGCAAGACCTCATCTCTACAAAAAAATAAAGAATTATTCAGGTGTGGTGGTGCACACCTGTAGTCCCAGCTACTCAGGAGGCTGAGGCAAGAGGATTTCTTGAGCCCAGGAGTTCAAGCTGCAGTGAGCTATGATTAGGCTACTGCCCTCCAACCAGGGCAACAGAGCAAGACCCCATCTCCACAAAAATGTTTTCAAAAATGGGCCAGGCACAGTGGCTCACACCTGTAATCCTAGCAATTTGAGAGGCCAAGGTGGGTGGATTGCTTGAGTCCAGGAGTTCAAGACCAACCTGAGCAACATGGAAAAAAACTCCATCTCTATTTTCTTGTAAAAATTTATTTGAAAAAAAAAAAAATAGAAAAAGTGGCCAGGCACGGTGGCTCATGCCTGTAATCCCAGCACTTTGGGAAGCCAAGGCGGGCGGATCACCTGAGGTCAAGAGTTAGTGACAAGCCTGGCTGACATGTCGAAACTCTGTGTCTACTAAAAATACAAAAATTAGCCAGGCGTGCTGGTGGATGCCTGTAATCCCAGCTTTTTGGGAGGCTGAGACAGGAGAATTGCTTGAACTCCAGGAGGTGAAGGTTGCAGTGAGCTGAGATCACACCACTGCACTCCAGACTGGGCTACAGAGGAAGACTCCATCTCTTAAAAAAAGAAAAAAAAGAAAGAAAAAAAGAAAAAGAAAAAGTAGGAGAGAAAGCATGTGAGGGAATGAAAGTTAGTAATCTGGCTGGGCATGGTGGCTCACATCTGCAATCCCAGCACTTTGGGAGGCTGAGGTGGGTGGATCACCTGAGGTCAGGAGTTTGAGATCAGCCTGACCAACATGGAGAAACCCCATGTCTACTAAAAATATAAAATTAGCTGGGTGTGGTGGCAAGTGCCTGTAATCCCAGTTACTCGGGAGGCTGAGGCAGGAGAATTGCTTGAACCCAGAAGGCGGAGGTTGTGGTGAGCCAAGACTGCACCAATGCACTCCAGCCTGGGCAACAAGAGTGAAACTCCATCTCAAACAAACAAACAAAAAGAATTAGTAATCTGAAGGGAAATCCACAGTGTTAAATGGGATTTCTGGAAATGTGGAACTGAAAGGAACATGGAAACTTTGTAACTTGATTGTGGCAGTGCTGCTGTGTTGCTGTCTCTCTGTCGCAATCGAATTCATGTTTGCATTCTGAGATGGGGACAGAAATGAAGAGCCAATGCCTATCTTATTTTGCAATCAGGCCATGAAGGTAGAGAAGGGGCCTTTGCAAATCTGACTTAACAAAAGATCATTGCCAGTACTCATGTTTTATTTGAAGTAGTCTGGTGTGTTAGGCCCTGCTGAACTTCGGTACTTTGTGTTTTGAACTCTTGGGGGGTGTGTGTGTGTGTGTGTGTGTGTGTGTGTGTGTGCGCGCGCGCATGTGTGTTTGAAGTAATTTGAACTCCAACCAGAATCTGTGTGTGTGTGTGTGTGTGTATGTGTGTGTGTATGTATGTGTGTGCATGTGTGTTTGAAGTAATTTGAACTCCAACCAGAATCTGTGTGTGTGTGTGTGTGTATGTGTGTGTGTATGTATGTGTGTGCATGTGTGTTTGAAGTAATTTGAACTCCAACAAGAATCTGTGCTTTTTATGGTCATTTCTGAAGCCCTAATTTAGCCACCCACATGAGCCACCTTCTTTAGCCCAGGAAATGGACATCCTGTTCCATACTCATGAAACCCTTCCCACGGAAACTCTCCTTGCCTTTGCTAAGCCAGAAGCAGCTTTCCTTCCATACAAGAAGTAGCCCCCAAGGCAAATCCTCCCTTAACATTGTGGCCTGTGATTGGGAAGTGTTTTAGTTTGAAGGAAGGAGGAATGTCAGACTGTGGCTGTCAACTTTTGAGGACTTGGGGCACCCACTTCCATGTTATTCCCCTGTGCTAGCTGATTCTTTTTATTTTTTAATTTTTTGAGATGGAGTCTTGCTCTGTTGCCCACGCTGGGGTGCAGTGGTGCGATCTCGGCTCACTGCAGCCTCCACCTCCCAGGGTCAAGTGATTCTCCTCTCTCAGCCTCCTGAGTAGCTGGGATTACAGGCGCCTGCCACCATGCCCAGCTAATTTTTGTATTTTTAGTAGAGACAGGGTTTCACCATGTTGGCCAGGCTGACCTCAAGCAATCTGCCCACCTCAGCCTCCCAAAGTGCTGGGATTACAAGTGTAAGCCACCACACCTGGCCGCTACCTGATTCTTAAAGATGTTTGTTATATTCAGTTTTTAAATGGAAGAAAGTGAAAACTGAGCGGTTTTGAGAACCTCAAAGTGTGTCTTGAACAGGAGACACCAAGGCGTATGACCAGTCAAGACTGACAACGGGGGCCAAGCTATGGCGGCAGAACAATGGGTCTGATAGTTAAACTCAGACATTAGAAAGTTTTACAGTATACCCAGAGTTGCCGGATAAGTCAACATAGAATTAGCAGATGACCCAGCAATTCCTCTCCTAGATATCTATCTATCCAAAAGAACTGAAAACACTCTTCACAAAAATTTGTCCATGAATATTCATAGCAGCATTATTTATAATAGCACAAAAGGTGGAAACCACCCAAAGGTCCACCAGCTGAATGGATAAGCAAAATACGGTATATCCACACAATGCCATATTACTTAGCCATAAACAGGAATGAAGGGCTGATGCATGCTACAACATGGATGAGCCTCGAAAACATGATGCTAAGTGAAAAAAGCCAGACACAAAAGGCCACATATTGTATCTACTTATATGAAATATCTAGATCAGGCAAATCCATAGAGACGGAAAGCAGACAAATGGTTTCCAGGGGTTAGTGGGGATTTATTGCTTAATGGGTCCAGGATTTCCTTTTGGGGCAATGGCGATGGTTACGCAACATTGTGAATGTACTAAATACCACTGAATGACACTTTGAAATAAAGCTGGGCACAGTGGCTCACACCTGAAATCCCAGCACTATGGGAGGCCGAGGCAGGTGGATCACCTGAGGTCAGGAGTTTGAGACCAGCCTGAGTCTGGCCAACATGGTGAAACCCTGTCTCTACAAGAAAAAAAATACAAAAATTAGCTGGGCATGATGGCATGTGCCTGTAATCCCAGCTACTGGGGAGGCTGCAGCACAAGAATCGCTTGAACCTGGGAGGTGGAGGTGGCAGTGGGCTGAGATCGTGCCACTGCACTCCAGCCTGGATGACAGAGTAAGACTTTGTCTCAAAAAAATAAAATAGTTAAAATGGTGAATTTTGTGCCTTTACCACAATTTTTTTAAAACCTTGGCCTGGCACAGTGGGTCATGCTTGCAGTCCCAGCACTTTAGAAGGCTGAAGTGGGAGGAACACGTGAGACCAGAAGTTCAAGACCAGCCTGGGCAACACAGTGAGACCCCCGTCTTTTTTTTTTTTTTTTTTAATAAAAAAAGGAAAGAAAGAAAAAACCCTGTTTGGGCTTCCCTGTTCTGAGTGTACTCCCCTGCCTTTCTTCCAAGAGTGGGAGGAAGGCAAACAAAATCACCTCCACCACACATAGGAAACCTTCACCCCAACAAAGGACTTAGATCCTGAAGAGGACTGGTAGGTGGGAGGAATCTACCTGATCTGGTCCTCTCTCCCACAGTAAAGACTTGCTTTTGCTCTAGAGCGTGCCGGGTTTATGGCTCTTCCTGGCTGACCAGGTTTGGACCCAGGACAAACAAGTCAGGTGGAGGCCGCCCTCCAGGTCAGCATCTAGGGCAAGGGTCATGGCTGAGCTCAGAGGCCGCAGGTAACCTCTGAAGCCTGCATTCTTTTTCCCCCATCAGAGCTTCCTTCTAAATATTCTGATTGCTATTCAGTGTTTTACTGTAAACAGAAAAGAAAAAAAAATTTATCATAAATGTCAGGTACTTTTTTTTCCCATTCTTTTCTTTTCCCTCCCCTCCCCTTCCCTCCTTTCTTTTCTCTTTTTTTTTCTTTTCTTTTCTCTTCTCTTCCTTTCCCCTTTCCTTTCCTTTTTCTTTTATTTTCTGAGACAGAGCTTCGCTCTTGTTGCCCAAGCTGGAGTACAATGGCACAATCTTGGCTTACTGCAACCTCCACCTCCCAGGTTCAAGCGATTCTCCTGCTTCAGCCCCCCAAGTAGCTGGGATTACTGGTGTCCACCACCATCCCCAGCTAATATTTGTATTTTTACTAGGGATGGGGTTTCACCATGTTGGCTAGACTGGTCTCGAACTCCTGACCTCAACTGATCCACCGGCCTTGGCCTCACAAAGTGCTGGAATTACAGGCGTGAGCCTCCACGCCCGGTCTCATGTACCTTTTCTAGTACACAGAACATTCTATACCCTAAGTAGGATTTTGATCCCTTGTTAGTTTCTTTCTTCCCTCAGCAAAACTCCCACCTTCCCCAAGCTGACTTCAGACAAGACCCAGCACTTCAGCAAAGATGGGTAAGACACCAGAAATAACTTAGGGCAACATTCTTGTCAGATGGAGGGACTTTTTTATCTTCTCCATGAATTTATTTCTGCTTGCTCAGCCCTCGGATTAAGTCCTGGACTTAGCCTCCTGTGTTTATCAGCCCATTGCAAACAACTGCATTGACTCCTCCACCTCTTATCGCTGACATGGTCCAGCTGGCCTTTCCTGCCCTAGGCCCATATCCATCACCAAGATCTTAGGAATTAACCCCTGGGTGTAGTTCTTTGTGAACAGGCTCTAGCCTCCTCCCCAATACGTACCTTACCTTGTACCCCTGGCATTAGCCAACCCTGTCTTTTTTCCAGGAAAGGACCCTGAATATCACGCAAGCTCTTCCCTCCGGTGTCCTCATAAGAGCACACCTGCATCTAATTTGCTGCATATCTTAGCAGCCTTTTCTTTCTTTTTTTTCTTTCTTCAACTTTTAAGTTCCGGGGTACATGTGCAGGTTGTGCGGGTTTGTTACGTAGGTAAATGTGTGCTATGGTGGTTTGCTGCACTGATCATCCCATCGCATGGGTATTTTTCTTTTTTTGAGATGGAGTCTCACTCTGTCACCCAGGCTGGAGGGCAGTGGCACAATCTTGGCTCACTGTAGCCTCTGCCCCCTGGGTTCAAGAGATTCACCTCTCTCAGCCTTCCAAGTAGCTGGAGTTACAGGCACCTGCCACCACACCTGGTTAATTTTGGTATTTTTAGTAGAGATGGAATTTCACCATGTTGGCCAGGCTGGTCTCGAACTCTTGTCCTCAAGTGATCTGCCCGCCTTGCCTCCCAAAGTGCTGGGATTACAGGCATGAGCCGCCGCGACCGGCCACCCGGGTATTAAGCCCAGCACCCATTAACTATTCTTCCTGATGCTCTCCCTCCCCTTACACCCCCTCCCACATTGTGTGTGTTGTTTCCTCCCACGTGTCCATGTGTTCTCATCATTCAGCTCCCTTTTCTGATCTGAAGGTTTACCTGTCTGCAGGTACAACCTATTGACCTCCAGGGCTCTGTCTCAAGGGCTCACTCAGCACCTTTGACAACCGGCTCACGAGCTTCCTCTCCATCCCTTGCCAACTTTAACAACTCCAGCGTCCCGCTCATACTCACTCTCACAATATTCAGCTCACTTCCCTTTATCTCATCTCCACTTTGGTCAACCTCCCATGGGTATGATCCATGCATTCGTTCTTCATTCATTCATTCATTCTGCAAACATTTATTGGGTATCTACTCTGCGCTAAGCCCTATGCAGCATCCTAGGGTAAGAGATGAGTCAGATATGGTCACCCTCAGAGCTGACATGAAGTCATTCAGCCATTTCAGCAGTTAACATATTGAAATAACCCTGTGCCTACTGGTCTATAGCCCCTGCCCTGAGCACACTCCAGCTGCCCCGGGTCTCCCTCCCATCCAGCAACTAAAAGGTGCATCTCAACTCCCACCTTGGTGGACCTCATAGGCAAACGGCGGACACCTTAAGAGTTTGGTGTGCTCAGGATGGTTATTTCCCCCAGAATGTCAAGCTGTGAAGTACACACGGAGTGACCACAAACTTCATTCTTCTGTATCTCCCCATCTCCCACATCGACTGCATGTTTTTTGTTGTTTTTGAAACAGTGTCTCGCTCTGTTGTCCAGGCCGGAGTTTAGTGGCGCCATCTCAGCTCACTGCAGCCTCAACCTCCTGGGTTCAGGCCATCCTCCTGCCTCAGCCCCCAAGTAGCTGGGACTACAGGTGCGTGCCACCACCCCTGGCTAATTTTTGCATTTTTAGTAAAGATGGGGTTTCACCATGTTGCCTAGGCTGGTCTTAAACTCCTGACCTCAAGTGATCCGCCTTGCCTTGGCCTCCCAAAGTGCAGGGATTACAGGTGTGAGTCACCATGCCCGGCCCTCTGCATGCTTTTGTTGTTGTTGTTGTTTTTGAGACGGAGCCTCGCTCTGTCGCCCAGGCTGGAGTGCAGTGGTGCGATCTCAGCTCACTGCAACATCTGCCTCCCGGATTCAAGCGATTATCCCCACTCAGCCTCCTGAGTAGCTGGGACTACAGGCAGCCACCACCATGCCCGGCTAATTTTTTTCATAGAGATGGGATTTCACCACGTTGGCCAAGTTGTTCTCAAACTCTTGGCCTTAAGTGATCTACCTGCCTCGGCCTCCCAAAGTGCTGGGATTATAGGTGTGAGCCACCGCGCCCGGGCTGAGCCACCGCACCCAGCCTGCACGCTCTTTTTGTCCTCATGCTACCAGCATTTCACTTCTCAAGTCTTGCAGTTCACTTCCGTCTCCCCATCCACCTGGGAGCTCACGGTCATCCTTCTTGAATCCCTCCCTCGTGCCTTGTCCTGCCCTCTTTGCTTGGCCAGCCCCATTGCTGGGGAACATGTCACCTGCAATTTCCATGTTTGCTTTCTGACCTGGTGCCTGGGGCCCTGCCAGGTCAGATCACAAGGGCAGGGGTCCTGAGAGTTTTGCACTCTAGGCTACCAGCTTCAGCTACACCTCTCTTGTTGCATGCCAAAAATGTCCTCACGTTTTGTTGATTCATCATCGCTACTTTTCTGCAGTTATTCTCTTCCTTGCATCATCAATCTCTCCCCTCTGACACATCAATACACTCAAGTCTCTATTACTCGACCTCACCCTGTAACAAAGGCTATTATTGCTCAATGAATATTCATATTTTCCCCCAAATTTCCCAGCACCCTTGCAGTTAGGTGGAGCCATGTGACTATTTGGCTTTGGCTAATGGGCTTTGAGTGGAAATAAACAACGTCCCGTCTGGGTGGAAGCGTTTAAAAGCCAGAACATGACCTTCCAGCTATCTCTTCCCTTCTTCAATGAGCTGGCCAAGGTGGTGGCCTTCTCAGACAGGAGTAATTTTGATCATTGAGTCCTGATGTGGAAAAGAGGAACCCTGAAGAGCTGCCTGACTGTTGCAGGAATATTTGTAAAACAGAAACAGATCTTTGTCATGTATGCCTCTAACACAGAGGGCAATTTCTTACTGCAGCATAGCCTAGCATTACCCTAATACAGGCCCTACGATAACAACAGTCAAAGCACCTTTCCTTGAGTCTGCTATTCCCCTGGGTTTCCACTCTATTTTCCTCCATCTCTCCATTGCTGGCTTCTTCAAGTATGAAGTCTCTAAGTAGGGCTGCTCTTTTCCCTTCCTGTCCACAAATTCATTCCTCAATCCCTGGCCCCTGACCTGCCGCTTTACCAAATTCTTTGCTGCAAGCTCCCAGTGATGCCACAACCCCAAATTCAACAGCACCTTCAGCGGCTCTAGCCCCTTTGCAAACAACTCCTATGTGGTGGATTCTGAGCTCCTTTGACCCCCTTCTCTGGTGCCTCCTCGGTGATCTGAGTTTTCCTCCTGTCCCTCCAATGCTCTTTTCAAGGCTGCCTCACCACTGACCCTTCTTCATTCTGCCTCCTAAATATAGCCCTTCCAAAGTTCTAGCCCTGTTCTTTTTTTGTTCTTTCTCTCTTGATTTCACCCAAGCCATGATTTCCATGTCCCTGACCATGAGCATGACTCCCAAATCTATTTACGGTCACTGCTCTCAAAGAGCTGCAGGCTAACGGGAGCACCTTGAGCTCTTCCCAGCCTCCAGGACCACAGTTCTGACCACCTGGGCGTTCTCACATTTAAAGTACCAGACCCAAATCAATTTCCTTTATCTTTCCCTTCAGGATTAAGCCTGTTACTCTGCCCTTCATATTACATGACTGCTACTTCTTCTCTTCCTCCTTCTTCCTTTTTTTTTTTTTTTTTTTTTTTAGATAGAGTCTTACTCTGTCACCCAGGCTGGAGTGCAGTGTCACAGTCACAGCACTGCAGCCTTGACCTCCCAGCTCAAGCGATCGATCCTCCCACCTCAGCCTCTGGAGTACCTGGAGCCACAGGTGTATACCACCACAACCAGCTAATTTTTTTTTTTTCTTTTTTGTAGAGATAGAGTTTCACCATGTTTCTCTGGCTGGTCTCAAACTCGTTGGCTCAGGTGACCCCCCTGCCTCAGCCTCCCAAAGTGTTGGGATTACAGGCATAAGCCACCAAGCCTGGCCCAGTGTTATTTTCCTATGCACACTTCCCTCACACTCCAGGAAAACTGGCTTGTCTCTTGTTCTCCAAACATGCCCAGGGCAGTCCTTATTCTTTTACTGCTGCTGCCTAGAAAGCCTTCTTCCCACCCCAGCTCTCATTTCTGCCTTTCTGCTGAATCCCACCAATCTCTGGAACCGATTTTGTACAACATGTTCCCTATAAAGACTTTCTGAATCCCCTCGACCTTATGTGTTTGCTCCCTCTTTTGCAAACGTAGACTGTTTTATTTGTAACTGTTATGAGTTAGAATAAAAACACTTGCCCTTTCTTGCCACTGTCTTTCACGTATCAGACATTCTGCTCTCTGGCCTCCCAGCCAGGTGGTTCTTCTCGGAGTATTTATAGAAACTGTATTTGCGATGGCTCCCTTTTAGGAAGTGGGTGCTTTTTTTTTTTTTTGTATTTTTGCTTTTAGTCATGGGATGAAACCTCACTTCAAGTGGGGAATTACCAGTGAAGCCGGTGGCTGGGCTTTCCTGGGCCCCACTTTTCTGAACATTCTTGGAGTTGGCAGCGTCTTTTCCCTGACATCCTGAGCTCTCTACATGCTATGAACCAAACCTGGCTGCTTTGCATGTGCCTGTTCAGGTGGTTCTTCTGGAACATTCCAGCTGATTTCATCCCTGTGAACCCTCCTTCTTCTCACCACTCTAGACAGTCCAGGCAGGGGTCTAAAAGGGAATTCAGTCCACACTGGGACTCTCCATGTGTTAAGGAGGCCCACAGCTTTCTGCCTGGGTAAGCAGAGCCCAGAGAGCCTGTTGGGTGAAAAATAGGTGGTACTGTACTTACTTCAAAGCCATGGCAAGTCTGTGCAGGCACTGAGGGAGGATGCTAAATCTGGAGGCTGAAATGCTGAGGGGAAAACTGGGCTAACTGGGTTAACTGGGCAGTGGATCCCAGGGAACAGACAGGAGGAGCCTCTGCTGGGGCTGCCGCTGGAGCTGAGGCTGGCCCTGGGCCCTGATGGTTCCCGCATCTGCTGGCACAGAGGAAGGGAAGGCTTCATGGATAGTACTTCCTTCCACACGAACTCCTCAGTGGGAGGTACTTTGTCATCGAAAGGCAGAGAGAGAGATGCAGCATGACACTATATCTCTTACCCTAATAGGCCAAACAGTGACCTAGAGAAATTCGAAATCCCTGGATCCAAAGGCTCACACCACAGGGGAGTAGGAAGTGGTGGGCTGGGAAGGGCAGTGGGTTGGGGGTGAGCAAGGAATGTGTACCCCTTCCCCTTAACCTCCACCTCCGGATGTAGTCACAAGTGTTGTCACCTACTCCTGGGCCAAACCAGTCACTGTTGGGTCAGCTGGCTGGTGACACCTATTCTGATCCAATTTTTTCATTTGATAGACTGGAGGCCTCCCAGAGAGGTGAAGGGGCATATCTGGGGTCACACAGCCAGTTTCGGGGAGACACTGAAACTCAAATCCCAGTCTCCTGGTGGCCTTGCCATGGCTGCTTCCACTCAACCTGTTACCTCTCTGTGTGAGGCAAGATGGGAAATGCTGGGAGACTTTGAGAAAGGCTGACAAAAATGGTTCCCCAAGAGTCTGCAAATGCGTGGAAGAGAATCAAAGGGAAAATAAATGGCCCCTATGAATATTTATGTCGAAACCTGGCTCTATGACCCGCAGAACCAGTAGAGGCTCTGAGAAAAGTTCAATCCAGGGTTGGAAAAACAATAGTTAATTTTTATCAAAACACACAGCAGAGTTGAAAAACAGTGTGTTCCAGAACAAATAAGTTCTGCTGACTGAGTGACCGTAGTTTTTATTCATTCCATTGTGTATGGCCTCCCTGGTAAAGCTTCTTTTTTGTTATTACAAAGCTATTATTATTAAAAATATACTATTTCTAACATCGTGAAATTTTTGTTTTTGTTTTTTTTTACGACACCCAAAGCCAAAATATTCTTTTTTTTTTTTTTTTGGACCAAGGACTCCTTGAGGTTTGAAGAATCAGAAAATTGTTTTCCATGTGGCTCTAGAAAGGCCAATATTCCCTGATGGAGGCTTCCCCTTATCTGGAGTTGGGGATTATCCCAGGGTCTAGCGCAATGCTTTGGAGGCAGGCCCATTCTCCAGGTCCCTTGGGAGCAGGGGAGCTGTTCCTAGTGAGCACAGCCAGTTCCCAGTCCCTCACAGCAAGCCCTGAGGCAGTCAAAGGACAGTGGGAAGTCCAAGCCTTCTGGACTTTGCAGTGGGGTGAACTGAGAAACGCTAACGTCCTTTGGGTCCTAACTCCAAAAAGGAGACTTCAGCTATCCTTTGAAATTCTAGAAGTCTTTAGTCTCCTTCTGAAGTCTAAAGTGTAGGTGCATGCAGTGGATGTAGCTCTTGCAGGAGGCTGACGAAACCTAAAGATGTCTGTTCCTTCAGCCACCCCAGCGCCACACAGGAAGCAGGCACAGGCAGTGGTGCCACCAAATGACTCACCTTTACGCTGCTCGATTATGTTTAGAGCTGCAAGTACCCTCTCACTGGGCCTCACCCACTGGCATTTGATGGCAGTGCTCTTGCACCCTAGCTTTGGGGGATCAAACCCTGGGGATGTTCAAGGTGTAGTGGCCTGAATGCCTTCCCCGAGCCAGGTGTAGGTCCACTCTCCATCTCCCTTGTCCCAGCTTCTGTCCCACCTCCAACCCGACTCTTAACAGCCCCTCCCTGCCAGTGCCCTCTGCCACCTGCTCTTTCCATCTCTTGCAGGTGGCTCCTCCTCCCCTCTCCTTTCACTCAACCTGGGGCTGGGCTTGGACCTGCTCCTGCCTTTCTGATCCTTACCAACCTCGCCACGTCTACACCCCTCTCCACGTCCCCATTCCTGATATCCTTGTCCTCCGTGGTTAACCATGCCTGAAATCTTACCCCTTGCCACTAGACTTCTTCAACCTTTCTCCTTCTTTAAAACTCTTTTTTGACTCTCCTGTCATCAGTATCCCTCTTCACGTGTTGTGTCAATTTGCTTTTCTTCCCCGTGAGATGAGCTGGGAAAATAGCAGTGACACCCAGCTGTGGCTGAGTGAGCCTTTCCTCAGCTCAGCGGGACTCCCTGTGTGTAAACAAATGCAGGGCATGACAGAAGGGCAGTCGTGGTTTTCAAATGTCCCCACCCAAGAGTGGATCCCAAAGTCATTTTAGTGGATTGCAGCCAACAGTGAAAAATAAATAGAACAGAACATACTGCAGGGCATCCCCCATGGGGAGGGTAAGTATTGTTTTGTGACATTTTTGTCTTTGTTGTTTCCATGTGTATGCGTCGCAAGTCTCAGTGTGAAATATATTCCTTACTATGGGTTGCAACCAAAAAGTTTGCAAAGTCCCTGGTCTAAAGAACCAGTGAAGACATCAAAGACCCATTATTGAAAGTGATGGGAGTGAGAAGTAGTTCAAGAAATTTGCTTGGGCTGGGTGTGGTGGCTTGCACTTTGGGAGGCCAAGGCGGGTGGATCATCTGAGGTTAGGCGTTTGAGACCAGCCTGGCCAATATGGTGAAACCCCATCTCCACTAAAAATACAAAAATTAGCCGGGCATGGTGGCGGACACCTGTAATCCCAGCTACTCAGGGAGGCTGAGGCAGAAGAAACACTTGAACCCGGGAGACAGAGGTTGCAGTGAGCCAAGAATGTGCCGTTGCATTCCAGCCTGGGCAACAAGAGAAAAAAACTCGGTCTCAAAAAAAAAAAAAAAAAAAAAAAAAAGAAAGAAAAGACAAAAGAAAAGAAAAGAAATTCGCCTCACTGTGGAGGCTCAGAGAGAGCCTTACATTCCTCCTTGGAGCACCTGTAGGTCCCACAGGTGAGGCTCCCATTGTCCTATTGGAGGAAGGAGGCATGGCTTAGGAACTTTCACCCAGGAAGGTCTGCAGAAACTGTCAAGATTCACACCCAGCATTGGGACTCCTGTTTGCATACAAATCAAAGACTGAACTCTTAATTAATGGTCATCAAGATCAAAAGAAACCCTTTAAAAGGAATAGGATCCTTTAGAGAGTTTTCCTTGCAGCTCCATCTGCTGTTTCTCCAGCCCATAAAAACAAAACCCAGAGAATGTGTCCGGTGGAAGCAGAGTCCAGCCAGATTTGGAAATCTACCATCTTTTTTGGTGAGATCATCAGATGCTACCACTTAAAGTGCAACAGAACATGAGTCTCATCCCTGTGGACTGCAGCCAGTCGAGTTCCAACTCGTCCCACGCACCCCCAGTGGCGGACAGGGATGGCCAAGCCCGGAGTTACTGGCAGTAAAAGGTGAGCACGTTTTCCTGGTTTCCTCGGATCAGGATGACTGGAGGTCTGAGGTCCTGGGACAGCGTGTCCAGCCAGGCCATGTACAGCGAGCTTGGGCACTTCCCCTTCCTCCCTATGGGCAGAGTGCTGCAAGGCAGGAAAAAGTGGCACCAGAGAGATTAGCATGGGGCCTCTCCAACGCCCAGCTCCTGGCTTGTTTTCAGAACAGCGAGTCTGTTTACTGTCCCTCAGAGCTCCTTCCACCCACCCTAGGAGTGACCTCCCTGCTTTCCGCACAAACATGACCCACAATGGACCTTCCTCTGTGAAGCGTTCCAAACGAAGCTGTGGCCAACGGGCCCCGTGGGATGCAGTCCTCGCCAAGCCCACGAACTCACCCTCGCCTTGTTCACCCCCGATGCCCTGTAGCTTTCTTTCCATTCCCAAAAAAACGCCATGCTCACTCCTGCCTCCAAACTTTACACTTGACACTCTTCCCACCAGGAAGGGAGCAGCCCAGCTCTGGACCTGGTGGCTTCCTTCGAGTCAGGCGAGTGCCCCCACCTCCTTTCCCCGTCACTCCTCCCGGGCAGGCTGCCCATGCCTCTTCCTCACATCACCCACTTTACTGCCTTCAGAGTTCTTCACAGTCCCAACACATCTTCACATGATTTATGTGCTTGTCTCCCCACATTAGAATGTTCACTCACAAGCAGGCCGCGTCTGTCTTGTTCACCCCTCTTACCCAGTGCCTAGAACACAGTCTGATACAGTCGGGCTCAGTCTATATTTGTTAAGTCTATATTTGACCCCTCCCCATCAGGCTACCTGCTTCATGCCAGGCTTGCCTCTCCAGCCCTGTGTCCGCCTGTGGCCACAGCAGTGTGCTATGTTTCTGTTCATTCATTATCCAGCTCAGCATCCTTGTCCTGCCTCCCATCCTGAGCAAGAGTCCCTAGGAGCAGGGCTCCACCACTGCCTGTGGGGAGGCCCCTTGTCTTAACTGTGCAATGCTGCACAAATAACGAGATGCCCTGGGAATGCTGTTCAGCCCTGTCTTCCAACTATTTGAGGAAGTGACTTTTCTACTATCTGGAGAATTCCAAAAATGCACTGGGATGGCTGCAGCCACCCAGCTCTGGGCTCCAGGGGGGGCAGCGTCTTACAGGTCCAGATGGTCCCAAGTGAAGTTGGGGCACCAGCACCTTAAGTGGGACTCACTTGTATGTCTGTTTCCCCCGCAGCACTGTGCTCCTTCACAATTGAGGGAACCGGGGCGGGAGGAGGATGCTGGAGCACTGGGGTCAGAGCCAGGCTTTGGCGTCTGAGTCATGGATTTGCCACTTCCTCAGCCATGTGACCTTTGCAGAATTTCTCTTCCCTAAGCCTCCCTCACAGGATGTTTGTGATGCTAAAGTCAGCAAAGCACACGCAGGCACAGCATAATGCCCGGCACGTAGTGAGTGCTCTGTAAGGTCAGCAGCTGTCATCATCACTTAATACTGACCAGCACGAGATGGCCAAGCCAGCGGCGGCAGAGCTGGAACTTGAACCAAGGTCTTGGCATCTTCCCTCCGCAGTGGCCTCTGCTTACAGCAACTCTGCCCTCCTCTGAGAAGGGTAACTGGGAGCCTAAACAGCTATGTCATACTTGAAGTTCCAACCACAAAGCTTCAGCTGGGACAAGCCCTACCCTCCTATAAAAAGCAAGGTCCCAGGCCAGGCGCAGTGGCTCACACCCATAACCCCAGAACTTTGGGAGGCCGAGGTGGGTGGATCACTTGAGCCCAGGAGTTCAAGACCAGCCTGGGCAACATGGTGAGACCCTGTCTCTACAAAAAATACAAAAATTACCTGGGTGTGATGGCACACGCCTGTGGTCCCGGCTACTCAGGAGGCTGAGGTGGGAGGATCGCTTGAGCCGGGGAGGTTGAGGCTGCAGTAAGCCGTGATTTCGCCACTGCACTCCAGCCTGGGCAACAGAGTGAGACTTTGTCTCAAAACAAACAAAAACTAAGGTCTCAAAAATTAGGGAAGGTGAGTGGGACCAAGGGCATTCCATTAAGCTATAGTCATCTGAGTTCAAATATTTAGTGACTTTCCAGGGGAAAGGGACATAGGAGTACTGAAAGCAAACTCTCCTGACAGCAGTTACGCGAGAGGCAGACAGCACCGTCCAGGAAACAGACGTGATTTCAGGGACTGAATTCAGAAACTTCAAAAGCCATAGGAGAATTGGTGCCTGCATCATAGGGACGGGGAGCACCCATCACCCCTGAGATGGACTTTTAAGCTTCAGCATGGAGTTCCCTCCCCCAGCAGAGCTTGTCCACCTGTCCAAGAGACAGCTCTCTTTAAAATCACCCCCGCCCCCACACCAATCACTGACAAGCTCTATTCCTGCTCACAGGATGTACACGCCTTAAGCTACTAATCTTCAGAAATAAAGCTGTTCCAGAACAAAAGAACATTTGTTTTCAGAATTGCATCTCTTAGCCACAAAGAAAGGCAGCCTTAGATCTAATCTAGATGTGAAACGACAGCCCTGCATCAGAACCACCGCCAGGGGCTCCAGCAGTTCCCACTTCCTGTCTGCAAGATCCTGGCCAAGTTGCTTCACTTCTCTGAAGCTGTTTCCTCATCCCTAAAGCGGGGGCTCACAGAGTTGTGAGCCAGGCACAGTGGCTCATGCCTGTAATCCCAGCACTTTGGGAGGCCAAGGCAGGTGGATTGCTTGAGCTCAGGAGTTGAGACCAGCCTGGGCCAATACAACGAAACACTGTCTCAATAAAAAACACACAAAACTAGCCAGGCCTGGTGGCACATGCAGGTAGTCCCAGCTACTCAGGAGGCTGAGGTGGGAGGATTGCTCAAGTCCCAGGAGGTGGCGCTGCAGTGAGCTGAGGTTGCACCACTGCTCTCCAGCCTGGGTGACAGAGTAAGACCCCGCCTCAATAAACAAAGAAATTAGAGGGCCAAGAGGTCTGAGTCACAGGTTACAAAGAGAAAACAAAAAAACAAAGAGGTTGCAGTGAGCTGAGATCACGCCACTGCACCCCAGCCTGGGTGACGGAGGGAGATGCTGTCTTAAAATTAGGGTTTTGAAAATTCATGAGGCCTGATACTTTGAGTAGCATAGAGGCTCAAGCCATAAAATGCAATGTTGATTATTACTATTTTGATTATTGCTGTTCGGCTTTGAGGAGGAAGTGTTTGTAGAAAAAAAAGGTGTCTGGACCCAACAGGAATATGTTGCTAGGCTAGGCAAAGGTTGCTGGGCTATTTATGAGGCTGGTTTATCAGCTGTGCTGGGGTAACTGCACTCAAACCTGGGGCCACTGATAACCCGCTGATTAGTCAACAGCAGTCAACCAAGTGCTGCCTCATCTGGCTCTAGAAAATGCTCCAAGCACACTCTCCCAAATGCTAGACAATGTGATTTAATCATTTCACAGAGGCTTGGGAGATTTTTTTTTCCCTTCCTCGGAATTTCTGGGCTCCACCCCAGAGCCTGGTCTGGAAGGCATTGAGGACCTTGTTTCTGTAGTCCCCTGGTGGTTCTGATGAAGCTGACCCTCTGGCTGAACTTGTAGAAACACTAGGCATGGCTCCAGGTTGGAGATTAGTGCTGGACAGATGCAGCTGCTCTGTCCTCCTGGTGGATTCGGCCCAATAGCTGGGGCCTCTTTGGACAACAGCTGTAGCTACCGGCATGGGGTGGAACGCCCTGGGTAGAGGTCTTCTCTGAGGTCTCCGGATTTATAATTACTTGTATTGGCGAATCCCACAAAAGCTGGTGGGTAGGGTATTGACTTTCCCTCTGATGTTGGGGGATGGTGATGGGGATGGGGGTTGGGAAGGGAGAGATTCCAACAGGTGGTCACCTCCCCAGATGAAATTCTTCATCTTATGGCTTAAGAGACTGATTGTTTTTAAAAATATATAGATAGGGTCTCACTATGTTGCCCAGGCTGGTCTCCAACTCCTGGGCTCAAGCAATCCTTTGTCCTCAGCCTCCCAAAGTGTTGAGATTACAGGCATGAGCCACTAAGCCCGGCTGAGACTGACTGATTTTAATGACAAATAAACAAAATCACAGCATGTTAGTATGAAAGAGAATCTTGGAAATACTTCTGTTTAACTCTATAATTAGGAAAACTGAGGCTAGAGTGACATGGGGTCTTACCCAAGGTCACACTATTAGTGGGCAAATAGCATAGAGAAAATGCACACGTGCTTCTCTGAACAGAGGCAGCACTCGTTAAGCCGTGGGCTGGCACAGCCATGCACACCCAGCAGGCACCATACCCAAAGAAGAGTCTGGGGAGGCGTCCCAGGACGAAGCCATTTGCACTGTCACTCACTCAGACCCAGCCCTCACCCTGGACCAACCTTGCCCTAGGAACATTCTCTGCTAGGTGTTGACGAGAGGTTTGGAGATAAACCCAGCCCCTTTCCTTAACACCGTTCTCCAAGGAAACACTGAGCACTTTCTTTGTACAAAAAAATTATGTCCCTAAAGCCCCAGGAAGCATTATTCTGGGCAAGCCAGCTTCCTGGGTATGCAACCGGTGCAGTCACGTGGGGCCTTCTGGTTAGTAGGGTCTCTTGCTTTGTCTAATGCTCTGCTGCCACCATCTTGACATCCTGCTTTATTTTTCTCTAATGCCTTGTTTAAGTCACACAAGAAAGTGTTGCAAGTGACAGTTCAACCCAATTGACTACACTATAAATTATATCACTATCGGCGGCCAGGCGCAGTGGCTCACACCTATAATCCCAGCACTCTGGGAGGCCAAGGCGGGTGGATCACCTGAAGTCAGCAGTTCGAGACCAGCCTGGCCAACATGGTGAAACCCCAACTCTACCAGAAATACAAAAAATTAGCCAGGCAAGGTGGCAGTACTTGGGAAGCTGAGGCAGGAGGATCACTTGAACCCAGGAGGTAGAGGTTGCAGTGCCCAGAGATTGCACCACTGCACTCCAGCCTGGGCGACACAGTAAGACTGTCTCAAAAAAAAAAAAAAAAAAAGTTATATCACTATCTGAGAAATAAATACAATCATTCTTCTTCTTCTTCCTCTTATTCTTCTTTTTTAAAAAAGTGTACACTAGCACTGGGGGCATTGGGGCATGAGGAATGCTGAGTCCCAGGGGCAGACTGACAGTGGTCCGTTTCTGGTCTGTTGCTAGACTCATCTGCTGAGAAGGGGTTGCACATTGCATAGGATATTAGGAATCATGAAGATTTCTACATGTTCTACCGTCTACTGGCACGTAGGAAGTGACTGGGAAGAACAGAAACTTTGTAAGTCAGAACCATTTGCTACCGTCTGAATATTCATGTCCCGGAAATTCACACGTTGAAATCCATATCCCCAGGGTGGCAGTTTTAGGAGGTGGGGACTTTAGGAGATGATGAGGTCATGAGGATGGAGCCCAACTCTGAATTTACCATGCTTTGATCTAGGGACTTCCGGGCCTCTAGGACTGTGAGAAATAAATTTCTGTTGCTGACAAGCCCAGTCTATGGTATTTCTTTCTTTTTTTTTTTTTTTAGACGGAGTTTCGCTCTTGTTACCCAGGCTGGAGTGCAATGGCACTATCTCAGCTCACCGCAACCTCCGCCTCCCGGGTTCAGGCAATTCTCCTGCCTCAGCCTCCTGAGTAGCTGGGATTACAGACGCGCGCCACCATGCCCAGCTAATTTTTTGTATTTTTAGTAGAGACAGGGTTTCACCATGTTGACCAGGATGGTCTCGATCTCTTGACCTTGTGATCCACCCGCCTCGGCCTCCCAAAGTGCTGGGATTACAGGCATGAGCCACCGCACCCGGCCCAGTCTATGGTATTTTGCTATAGCAGCCCAAATGTTCTAAGACATGATTCCCGAACACTGCTTGAGTGTATGGAATTACCGTTTTAGTATTATCCAAGCATGTTTCTAGCTCTGTCACTGAGGCTGCAGTGCAGTGGCATGATCTCAGCTCACTGCAACCTCTGCCTCCCTGGTTCAAGCAATTCTCCTGTCTCAGCCTTCCAAGTAGCTGAGATTACAGGTGTGCACCACCACACCTGGCTAATTTTTTGTATTTTTAGTAGAGACAGCATTTCACCACGTTGGCCAGGCTGGTCTCAAACTCCTGATCTCAAGTGATCCACCCACCTCGGCCTCCCAAACTGCTGGGGTTACAGGTGCCAGCCATGGCTGCCAGCCCATGGTTATGTTTCTAATCGCCTAAACCACTCTCCTGGTGACCAAATTCCACTAACTGGTAGAAGCAAACATTTAACCTCTACCCTGTCGATGAAGAGTAACTGGTATTGGTGCCTTTTGAAGCCTCCTGGGCATCTTTTTTTCACATGAGAGTTTTTAATCTTCTTGTAAAATATCCACAATGGCCGCAGATCACATCGTCGCCGCCCCTTTCCTCCAGCAGCAGCAGTGGCCTTCATGGTCCCCTAACTTCCTTCACTCTGTTCCCGCGTTCCTTTCGTTGCTTTCTTGAGGTCTTTTTCTTCTCTTACAGGCCACGTCTTGCAAGTCTATGTTTGGGTTCATTTTTCTTTCCATGATCCAAGGAATCATCAATCATACCAAACTAGCTGTCTTGCTCTTGCTCCACCAAAGTTAAATCCAAATGCAAAGATGATCTCCAGCGTGGTCTTGTACATTTTGGCTGGTTTGTCCTAAATTTCTATCTTAGGTACTGTTGCCTTCCCAGGGTGAAGGACATCGATGGCCATTTCTTTCCTCTGAAGTAGTCAGTTGGTCACGACCTTCCTAGTTTGGATAGCTACTGAGTCATTCATGATGGCGGTCAATCTTCAGGCAGCCAGAGAGGAAAAACCCTTATGGGCATCTTAAAATGAACTGGAGGTCCAGAAACCTCCAGGTCAGGTCTCCAAACTGTTTGCTTAGCTTCTAGCCTTTGGTGAGACCTAGGAGGATGCATATCCTCAGGCTTTATCTACTTATTTGCTAGAAGCCATTGACCTTTTTTTTTTTTTTTTTTTAAGACAAGAGTCTCACTCTGTCGCCCAGGCTACAGTGCAGTGGCACGATCTTGGCTCTGCAGCCTCCACCTCCTGGGTTCAAGCGATTCTCCTGCCTCAGCCTCCTGAGTAGCTGGGATTCAGGTGACTGCCACCACACCTGGCTAATTTTTGTACTTGTAGTAGAGACAGGGTTTCACCATGTTGGTCAGTCTGGTCTTGAACTCCTGACCTCGTGATCCACCTGCCTCAGCCTCCCAAAGTGCTGAGATTACAGACATGAGCCACCAAACCCGGCCAGCCATTGGCCATTTTCAGTCTGAACCCATTTGCCATTTTGATTTTCTCAAAGAGGCACTTACACTACCTAAAAGAAACATTGCTGGTGCTCTCCTGAAAGAGAGTACTGCAGACACAGCAGTCAGGGATGTATGCAACTTATATAGCACTCAAGCAACAGAGGTAGTGGAAAAATAAGTTTGAGTTGCTTTTATCACCCTCAGTGGACGACTTGTTCTGAGGTCTCTTCTCATGAATCCAACATCCTTAGATCCTGGCATCTGCAGTCCAGGTCAGATGTGACAAGTCTGGGAACGGGCTGTACCGCCAGAGCTGAGGGAGCCCCTATCTGAGCACATCTTTCTAAAACAGTGTGCGGTGCTAGGTTTGGGGACCTTCTTGCCAGAGCTTCTTGCAAGTTTGATGAAGCATTTGTGGTTGCTCTCCAAGGCAGGGTGCATTTTGCAGATTTATGGAAACATTCAAACATGTGAACATTGAAAAATGATACTCTGAAATTTCAGGCCCATATCATCATCTTTCTACATCAATGATCAACCGATGATCAGTTTTGCTGAACCTCTGCCCTCTCCTCCTTTCCACCACCATGAGATTTTTACTAAAACAAATTCCATACAGACTATGTGAGAATGTAAGGGAGATTACTTTGAAAGAAAAGACCTTGACCTTCTTAATATTTTCTGAGCAAGGAGCCACACATTTTTGTTTTGTTCTAGGCCTTGCAAATTGTGCAGTTGGTCCTGGCTTCAGGTTATGAACAAGCAGGTCCCATGGACGTTGTGGCTGTCCTGCAGAACCTGGCATCTGCAGTCCAGGTCAGATGGTGATAGGTCTGGGAGTGAGTTCCACCACCCATCACCAGAGCTGAGGGATCCCTTCTGTCTGATTCCCAGGCGGTTGGCCCTCAGGAAATGTACAAGAGGCCAGTTACTTGCCTTGGCAAAGACCCCTTATCCCCTGAGCTGAGGGCTTGGCTGATCATGTTCTTCTTACAGGCTTCAGAAAGAGCAGAGCCACCCTGAGACCCTCGCTGCATAACTGTCACCTTCCATCCCACCTTCTGCTTGCTCAGCCCTGGCTGACACACCCCAGGGGTGGCTCAGAACTGGACATGGGTCCAGTAGGAACAGCCAGGGCCGGGGCAGGCCTCCGTTACTGTTGCTCAGGCTTGGAACCAACATCAGTTGGGAATGGCTGATGGCCAAAGAGGGCCAAGTGATTCCTAAACAACCAGGAATCGATGTCCTTCTGGAAACAGCTGGGTTCCCTTTTTGCCAAGTGCAATTTGGTAGGAAAAGGCAGCCACCAGGATAAAGCAATGACAAGGGGAGGTCAATGGTGTCTGGGACACGTGAGGCCCTCAGCTTCTGCCAGCTGGAGCTCAGGTATGTGGCAGACTCGGGCCCAGCCACGTGCTGAGAATCACCAGGGCTATGTTTATGGGAGTTTTGGTCCTTCTGCTTCCCAGGGAAAGGCTCCGGTCGTCTGTGGTGCCCCCATTGAGCCCCTTCCCAGAGCTGAGACACCTGACCCCAGACAGGCTGGTCCTCCCACCAGCCAGGAACTACTTACATGACGATGAGAGCAGCATCTCTGGAGTAATCCAGCAGAATCTCATTCAGCCTCACCTGCCGAAGGGACTGAGCAGGAGAAAGCCAAGTGATCACTTCCCATATCCTCGAGAGCACTTGACCCCTCACCACATCCACAGCCTCGTTAACATTTTCAACTGGATTCATAAATTACTCCCTTAAATTCTTATTGACTCTCCTGCCTCCAGGAAGAAGGGGACCCTTGGAGTAATGGAGCACCAAGCTCACCTCCTCCAAGAAGCCTTCCATGATGTTTCCTTGTCTGACTCTATGACCATAACCACTGGGGTAGAAGGAAGAGAGAACACCTTACTAGGTTCAGACCTCAGCTCTCATATTTCATAGCAGAGAGAACTTGAGCAAGTCATGTCACCTCCCTGACCTTCACTGTCTTCATCTGTAAAATGGGTATGATGATACCTTCTCCAGGTGAATTTGGAGAGTTTCAAATGAGACAACCTACGCAAAAGCACCCAGGAGACGGCCTGGTACATGAAAAATGCTCTAGAAAAGACAGGGGAACTAGGAGCAGGGACAGGTCACCCCACTTCTTCTGTAACAGAATATTGGAGGGTCTCCTTTGGACACAAGGTTTTATTCATCATTTTCCAAAGACCCTGATGGCTGCATGAGCCCTTTGGGGCAAGGTCTAGGGCTGACAGATTAGGGAAGTCCCCAAAGCTTGTGTGGGACTGGGTTGGGGGTCACCCCCTGCCCTTCCAGAGCTCACCCCACCTCGACACGGCCACGGGTACAGGCACACTTTACCTTAGCCCTTAGAGTCCTGAAGTACTGTCAGGAAGGGGCACCATGGCCCTGAGCTGTGTCAGGGCAGGGTCTAGAGGCTAAGGGGGGAAGGTCAGGCCGCTGTGTCCCACAGGATGGAGTCTTGCTCTGTCGCCCAGGCTGGAGTGCTCTGGTGTGATCTCGGCTCACTGCAACCTCCCCGTCCTGGGTTCAACCAATTCTCCTGCCTCAGCTGGGATTACAGGTGCTCACCACCAAGCCCAGCTAATTTTTTTTTTTTTTTTTTTTTTGTATTTTTAGTAGAGACAGGGTTTTACCCTGTTGGTCAAGCTGGTCTTGAGCTCCTGACCTCAAGTGATCCACCTGCCTCAGCCTCACAGAGTCCTGGGATTACAGGGGTGAGCCATCACGCCCAGCCTAACAGGACAAACTATACTTTGGCCATCACCATAAGTCTCAGGAATCTCTTCTACCCAGCATAGAGGAAGCGGGGAGGAGAAGGAGGAGGACTCAGGGCAGTCCATGCCCACTGCCGGGACTCACTCAAGACGGGCAGGAGGACCAGGGTCCCACACAAGGGATAGCACTGAGTTCCACAGCTGGGTAGCCCATCAGCCTGAGTGACTGTGGCGTGAGGATACCTCGGGGGCCGGAGTGGAAGGCAGGGTGGAGGATCAAGGGGAGGGGCTGGGGAGCTCAGGACATGCAGGACGCCTGTCCCTGACCCAATGATGCGTCGTGTTTCCCACCCCCACCCACCCCGGCAAGGCTGCCCCCTCCTGCACCTTGACTCTGTTCTTCGTAATCTCCTCATCTGAGATTTTCCAGGGGCAGTCCCGCCGCATCTCGTTGACAGTGGCCTCGTCCTTGAAGCCATCATTCAGGCGGAAGGGTGCAATCATGTCCTCAAACCTCTTGGTGCTGGGGATGAGAGAGTGTGTGAGGCTGGCTGAGATGATGTGGGGAGTAGAAAAGTTTTGCTTTAAAGTTTTCTTTCTTGTTAAAGAGTAAATTGTAAGTGTGCTGATAACTTTAAGCCCTGTGCTATGTAGCTGTTTAACATGCCATGCTTACAGGCACGTAGTACATTCTATGCCCTTATACTTTAACCAAGATATCTGTGCTGGATGTGCTCACAGGCATGTCCCAGCTCTCCATTGCTTCTGCCTAGTTGGAAAAGTTTTAAGTTATTAGCCAATCAGGTTTTAGTTTAGATTGTGAGGTCTGGCTCCAGCCAATGGGGATCAGACAAAGCAGTAAGGACAATCCCAAATGCCTAAGAAATAAACTTGTGTGTATTCCGGTGTGGTGGTGGGCACCTATAATCCCAGCTACTTGGGAGGCTGAGGCAGGAGAATCACTTGAACCTGGGAGGTGGAGGTTGCAGTGCGCCGAGATCACACCACAGCACTCCAGTCTGCGTGGCAGAGCAAGATTCTGTCTCAAAAATAAATAAATAAATAAAAATCAGATGCTAGATGAGGTCTGTATGTTGCTCCTGCTGTCCCTGCTGCCTGGAAGATCTCCCCCGTCTCTTTTTGATCATCAAGGCCCTTCTCAAGGCTTTGCTTTTCCACCAACAGAGCCAGCCCTACTCTCCTTGGCATCCTGGTCTGTCTCTGCAGCATTGCAACTGCCTTGGCTTCCGCCAGCCTGCCGCTATGCTTGGAGGACTGGGCTGCAGATTTCTCATCTCTGCCTCTGCAGCACCAAGCACAGCTCCTAACAAATGGTTGGCGCCAGTGCATCCATCACTATTACATGGCTCCTTTCTGCTTATCTTGATTTCCTTCCCTGTCCAGGTGGGGGACATCCTTATGGCTGGGAAATGTAAGAGAAAAGTTAGGGCTAGGAGGTCAGGAGGAAACATAATTAGTGAGGAGAGTGTCCTGGAAAACCTCATGCACACTGATTGACAGAATGCAAATCCCATTTGTAAATGTCTTATTTTAAGAAGACGAAGTCACACCATTTGAAAGCAAGCAATCCCTGCTGAACGTACCATTGGTCATTGCTACAAATTCACAGAAGAGTTTGCTTAAAAATCTGCGCTCTTGCCCTCAGATGGAAGGAAGAAGGAAGCTGTTGCCCAGGTCACTCACCTTTTCCCCACTCCCAGCACCGATGTGTTAACACAACCATCAGGGGCTGCAGCCGCCTTGCCCAGTGACAGCCTCAGCCCCAGGGAGGAGACATGTCCTGGCCACAACCACTGCAGAAGTTGTGCCCTCTGACACATCTAGGAAGGACTCGGGGGAGAGCTCTTTGCTCTTAGCTTACCAAAGTGAAAGGGGGCAGCCAGCAGAGGGGTCTGCAGGCACACAACTGGCCATTCTGCCTGGAAGCCCCAACACAGAACTTACTGCTCAGCCCGAGGGTTCTGGTTGATGTCAGGGAGGATGTGGACTTCATGGAATCCCAGTCGGAACTTGCTCAGCAGAGAAATCATCCTGCAGGAAACATGGAGAGGTTTATTATTATTATTATTATTTATTATTATTATTTTGAGACAGAGTCTTGCTCTGTCTCTCAGGCTGGAATGCAGTGGTGCAATCTCAGCTCTTGTGCCCCAGCCTCCCAAGTAGCTGGGATTACAGGTGTGTACCACCATGCTTGGCTAATTTTTGTATTGTGAGTAGAGACAGGGTTTGGTCATGTTGGTCTCAGGTGATCCTCCTGCCTCAGCCTCCCGAAGTTCAGGGATTATAGGTGGGAGCCACCAGGCCCAGCCTGAGAGGTTTAAAATGTATTTATTCATTTAACTAATTTTTACCAAGCACCTACTGACTATGTAGCAGTGAGGAAAACAGAAAGCCTGCCCTCAAAGAACACGGGGGTAGGGGCAGACAGGAAACTCATAAAATGGGTTAGATGATGAGAAGTGAAACAGAAAAGTAATTGACAAGATTTTCCCAAGTATCTGGTGGCCATCTCTGTACTAGCGCACCCCAAATTTTCACATTTCTATGCATCTGCTGAGGATCTTGTTACCGTGCTGATTCTGATTCGGCTGGTCTGGAGTGGGGCCTGGGATTCTGCATGTCTAACACACTCCAGACGCAGTGCTGCTGGACCACAGACAACACTTTGAGTAGGAAAGTTCTAAGGAACAGGAGAGTTGAATAAAGGAAATTCTGGAGTGGCTGAGGAAGCAAAGATAACACACAAGAAACTTGGTACAGAACCAGGAGTAGCAAGCCAGACAGTACTGACTTTGCATCTAACAGGGAAGGTCAACGGGGAGGATTGACCTGTGGTTTGTAGCAGTCAGGGAAGACTTCACAGAGGTGGCAGTCTGGCTGGATGGTGAATGAAAGGTAAGATTGTTACAGGCCAGAGCAGGTGGGGCAGGGGAATGTCTACACTGAAATCACCCAAGGAGCCTTCAAAACAATATACCTGCTGGGCGTGGTGGCTCAGGCCTATAATCCCAGCACTTTGGGAGGCCAAGGTGGACCGATCGCCTAAGGTCAGGAGTTCAAGACCAGCCTGGCCAACATGACAAAACCCCATCTCTACTAGAAATACAAAAATTAGCCGGGCATGGTGGCATGCATCTATAATTCCAGCTACTTGGGAGGCTGAGGTAGAATTGCCTGAACTCAAGAGGCGGAGGTTACAGTGAGCTGAGATCGTGCTATTGCACTCCCGCCTGGGCAACAAAGCAGGATTCTGTCTCAAAACAAACAAACAAAAAACAATACACCTGCCTGGGCCTTCCCCCCACCCCCTTGCCCACCATTAAGTCAGAACCCCTGGGAGGGACCTGATTTGGGTAATGCCTCAGGTGATTCTGATGTGCCAGCCTGGTTAGGGACCACGGGACTGATTGGTAGGGAACAGTTAAAATGAGGGAAGGTGTCGGGGTGCAGGGGGTGGAGCAGGGCAGTGAGGAGCTGGCTGGGATGCATGGAGTGTGCTAGGAGAGAGGAAGAAATAAGAGGCAAGCCTGGAGGACGAGGTTGGGGCCGAGCAGTCAAGCCGCTGCTGGCCCCTGACCATGGGGAGTGAAATTTTGAAAGCAGAGCTGTGGGCAGATTCAAATGGTGTGCGGTGACAGTGGGGGCTGGCAGACCTGGCCAGTGCCTAGGTAAAGACAGACCTGCTCCCGGGTTATGTAGAGAGCAAAGGATGTGGCCCATCAAGGGACAAAGGGAGGCAGAGGAAGGGTTTTCATAACCTTCCCACCAAGTACATGCCGTTAGCCCAGGCTGCCATAGCCTTGAGCTAAACCAAATCTGCTAAAGTCAGCTTCCATTCAGAGCCCGGACAGGAAGCAGAGACAGCACAGCAGTCTCATGGCTTATTTACTTTTTGGAGATCACAGAGAAGTCAAATGCTGCTTTTTCCAAGCCACAGTTTCCTTAGCATTGCTGAAAAGGGGTTTTCAGGGAAGAAATTCTTAGTGGGGTGAGGACAAAGAGACGGGATTTATGGGTTTCTCTTAATTCATACTGTGGATGGCTAGAGAATGGGGCATGGGAGGCCATCCTGGCATAGGACGGGGTGGTGTAGGCCAGGTTATCCCCTCCTACCCCGACCCTGGGGCATCACAGCCAGGATGGTTGTAAAGGGCATTAGAGACCAAGCAGGGGTTCTTCTCTTCAGCTAATTAGTTGCATGACTTTGGGCAAATTGCCCCATCTGTTGGTACCCTTCAGCAGACCTCCAGCCTGTCACCTCCCACCTCACCTGACCTTGCTCAAAGCAGCAGCTGCCCAGTTCCACCTGCCGACACCTGCCAGCTCCACACCTGTGTGCCACCTGCCTTACTATTTACTTCCTTTTCTGTTTAAATCAACTCACATTCTGACTTAGTTACATTTATTTCTTTATTTTATTTATTTATTTATTTTTGAGATGGAGTTTTCCTCTGTCGCCCAGGCTGGACTGCAGTGGCACAATCTCGGCTCACTGCAACCTCTGCCTCCCAGGTTCAAGTAATTCTCCTGTCTCAGCCTCCCCAGTAGCTGGGACTGCAGGCACACACTACCACACCCAGCTAATTTTTGCATTTTTAGTAAAGACGGAGTTTCACCATATTGGTCAGGCTGGTTTTGAACGTCTGACCTCAGGTGATCCACCCACCTCCGCCTCCCAAAGTGCTGAGATTACAGGCATGAGCCACCAGCCTGGCCCAAACTGAGATACATTTCAAAGGCAGATTTTATGTCATGATTTTATTTATTTGTTCAGATTTTACTTTATTTTTATTACTATTAAAAAACAGAGACAAGATCTGTTCTATCACCATGGCTAGAGCGCAGTGGTGCAATCATAGCTCACTGCAGCCTTGATCTGGGCCAAGTGATCCTCCTGCCTCAGCCTCAAGTAAGCTAAGACTATAAGCACATGCCACCATTCACAGTTAATTTTTTATCCTTTTTACTTTTTGGTAGAGACAGGCTGTCACTATGTTGCCCAGTCTGGTCTCAAACTCCTGGCCTCAAGCCATCTCCTGCCTTGGCCTGCTGTCAAAGTGCCAGGATTTATAGGCAGAGCCACTGCACCCAGCCAATGCCACAATTTTAAACAGAAAACCGGCACCTCTTGCCAGGAAGATGTAACCAATAAAATCCATGTAGATGAACCAGGGTCACTGTTCTGGCCAGATGCCACTGCCTGCCAAGCCCATGCAACCAGCCTGCTCCTCTTGCTCAGGGAGCCAAACACAGGCTACCAAACAGAAGGACAGGCCAGGGCTACGCCAGGACCTTCTGCAAAATCAGCCCCAGAATTGGAGGAGAATTAAAAGCCACTTCTTATCAAAAGACTCAGTGGTATTTGCTGCCTCATCCCCTGGCCACTAAAGTCACCTCTTATCTCTCCAGAACCTGCATCCCATGCGTTAGGAACATTGCCTTAAAGCAAGGGCCCCTGATTCCTGGGCTGCTGACAGGTACCAGCCATGGCCTGTTAGCAACTGGGCGCATGGCAGTGAACAAAGCTTCATCTGTATTTACAGCTGCTCCCCACTGCTTGCATTACCACCTGAGCTCTGACTACTGTCAGCTCATCAGTGGCATTAGACTCTTAGAGGGCCATGAACTCTCTTGTAGGATCTAGGCTGTGTGCACTCATTATGAGAATCTAATGCCTAATGATCTGTCACTGTCTCCCATCACCTCTGGATGGGACCATCCCGTGGCAGGAAAACAAGCTCGGGGTTCCCACTGACTCTAAGTGACGGTGAGCTGTATAACTATTTCATTATATATTACCATGTAATCATAATAGAAATAAAGTGCACAATAACGTAAAGAGCTTGAATCATCCCCAAACCACTACTCTTTCCCCAGCCTGTAGAAAAACCGTCTTCCACAAAACCTGTCCCTGGTGCCAAAAAGGTTGGGGACCGCTGCGCTAAAGGATTCCAGCTCCTACTTCATTTCTCCATCCTTCATTTCCTTTTTACAAAACATTATATATATTTAAATTTTTTAATATATGTAAAATATTTATATAAAAATTTAAAATATTGGCTGGGCATGGAGGCTCATGCCTGTCATCCCAGCACTTTGGGAGGCTGAGGTGAGGGGATCACTTGAGGTTAGGAGTTCGAGATCAGCCTAGCCAACACGGCGAAACTCCAACTCTACTAAAAATACAAAAAAATTTATCTGGGCATAGTAGCACGTGCCTCTAATCCCAGCCACTAGGGAGGCTGAGGCAGGAGAATTGCTTGAACCCAGGGGCGGAGGTTGCAGCGAGCTGAGATTGCGCCACTGTAGTCCAGTCTGGGTGACAGAGGGAGACCCCATCTCAAACAAAAACAAAAACAAAAACAAAACTTAAAATATGCAGACAGAGTTTTGCCATGTCACCCAGGCTGGTCTTGAACTCCAGGACTCCTGGATCCACCCGCCTTGGCCTCCCAAAGGGCTAGGATGACAGACGTGAGCCACTGTGCCCAGCCCGTCCCCCATTTCATACAGGTTCCTCCTAGAGGAGATTTACTTTTTGTTCTTTTTTATCTTTTTTTGTTTTCAATTTTTCTTGTCTTTTTTTTAAACTTTAAATCTAAAAGATAGATCCCTTTTCTTTCTTATTTTTATGTTTCTCATTGTCCAAACCCAGAGATTTATGACTTTACAACCTAACTCCCCTCCCTGTCGTCCCAAAGCCTCTGCATTTTATTGAAGGAGGCAGGAAACCAGAACAACTTCTGGAAGGGAGAGAAGCCTGCTCCTGCTCCTGCCCACTGCAGTGGCCTGGAGAGAACTGGTCCTGGGCTTGGGACAATCTCAGAACCCACCTAGGGGTGGTGGTAGACGAGCAGGGGTGGAGGGCAACCTTAGGTGGAGCTAAGCTGGCCGTGGTCCCTGCAGCCCTGGGGCCGGCCCTCCGTACTTACGCCCTTCTCTCCTGGTCCATCCTGTTAATCTGGCCGCCCACGAACACGCGGATCCTGCATTTGCTCCACCTCTTCTTGCGGTGGAGGAGATAGGGAATGAGGAGGGTAAGACCTGGCAAGGAGAATCCCCGAGAGTCACGACGGGAGTCCACTCAGGAAAGAGCGCTCTGTGGGTTCCTGCCCCACTCTGCTATTAGCAAACCTCTTCCTCTCCTCGCCAGGCCTCAGTCAACCCATCTGTATAATGAACATGCCTGACTAAACCCAAGTTGCACATGGTACTCTGCGGGGTAGGGTTTATTTGGCTTGTGCAGTGTATTTAAATAAACAAGCTAGCAGCCGGGTGCCATGGTTAATGCCTGTAATCCCAGCACTTCGGGAGGCCAAGGCAGGCAGATCACCTGAGGTCAGGAGTTCGAGACTAGCCTGGCCAACATGGTGAAACTCATCTCTACCGAAAATATAAAAAATTAGCTGGGCTTTATGGTGTATGCCTGTAGTCCCAGCTACTCGGGAGGCTAAGGCAGGAGAATTGCTTGAACCCAGGAGGCGGAGGTTGCAGTGAGCCAAGATCGTGCCATTGCACTCCAGCCTGGGACACAAAGAATTAAAAAAAAAAAAAAAAGCTGGCATTTAATAATTGAGCAGTTTCATATAAAACTCGAGGTCACTGGCAGTTCTTGAAGGCTGAATACTTGACCAGCGTGGGGAGCCCTCATCCCTCCCTGTCGTCTCCCCACACAAGACCGTGAACCAGCTGTCATGTGTCACCTCATAATCCTCTGTGCCTCAGTTTCCTTATGTATAGAGCGGGATTAATCGTGACAGCTCCTTCCTGGGACTACATTAGGTAGGGAATTCCATGTCAGGCAGGTAGTGAGTGCTCAGCCGATTTCAGCAGTTATCAACAGAACCCATTCCACTGGAGCAAAGACATTTCTTTCTATCCATGACTCTACCAAGGGTAGGAGCAATAAAGCTGAAAGTCACTTTCTCTTTTTTTAATGGGAGAGGATATACTTCCTCGTGAAGTGAGAAATATTCCTACAGCTTTCCTGGGCACCAGCCCACCTCCCTGTTTCTATCACCTGCCTGTGCCCCTGAGGACCATCCAGGCAGAAGGTTCCAGCTCATGGCGACTTCAGCTCTTCCCTCAGTTTCCCATTTTATAGCCGAAAAACTAGAGGCCAGACGGAGGGGTCCCTCCAGGCTCCCCTGAGCTCACTGGTGGGCCCAGGAGCCCCCGTCCCCTTTGAGAGCAGGCCAGGAAGGAGAGGGAAGGAAGACCCCCGCCCCAGGCAGAGGGGCTGATCCGAGCAGGGAACTGACCTCCGTCGTCAAAGAGCCAGTAGATGTCGATGGTCTTCTTGCCCTGCTCCGACTGGAAGATGGTGCTGGCCTGCTCCTCCAGCACCAGAGCCTTGGGGTCCACTGCAGGAGGTGGGGGCGGGTCAGAGCAGAGCCAGCTGCAGCACATCTGGGCTGGCCTGGCCCAGGGCCCCACCAATGCCCCTTCTGAGGCTGAACGCAGATTCTCTGGCAGGTGGGCCAGGACCCACGGCCCAGGACACTCAGTACTGTGATGTGCCCCTGCCCCGCTCTCAGCTTCTCTCTCCCGGAATTCTGGTGAGTACTAGGAGTGGGGACAGAGCCCTCTGGGTAGGTAGGGAAGTACACTCTCCCTTCTCTTAAACACCCTCCTGTGCTCTCACAGATACCCACAGGAGCCCTCCCGCCTGCACTGCAGGCCCCCTACCTCCCAGGGTGACCGTGGGAGAGGACGAAGGAAAATCCCGCCCCACCCTGCATGGCTAGAGGGGTCTTGGCAGGAGAGGGACAAGGGCTCCAGAGCCTGCTGGGTGGACCTCTGATGCCCTGACCCTGAATTCTCCACTCCTGGCAATCTTTTTTTTTCTGAGACAGGGTCTCACTTTGTCGCCCAGGCCAGCATGTCGTGGTGCGGTCATAGCTCACTGCAGCCTGGAACTCCTGCCTCAGACTCCCACAGTGCTGGGATTACAGACACCAGCCACTGCGCCCGGCTGCTGGCAATCTTTAACACAGCCAAGGCCTTCCAGTTCCCAACCCCCGTTACTCAGGCTGTCATGATAAAAAAACCACCTGTCCTCCACCGAGTTCCCCAGTGGCCCGCCCCTAGCTGCCCCACAGGGCAGGAGTGCCTTGAGCTGTGAGGGGAACACTGACACACGCCAGAGACTGACGGCCTGGCACCTCTGGCACTGGCTTCCTTCCTGTCCTCCGCTGGGTCAAACACGGGGTTAACTGCAAAAGAAGGGCAGCATGGTTCATAGGCTCTCCTCGTCTGAGGGCACAGTGGGTTCCTCCTGGACAGGGCTCCCTTGATGCTAGGAAGAAAGTGCCGACACCCCACCTGGCCTCCATGAGCCCACTGCACCCGGCCCTGGCCCCCCTCTGACCTGCCTCCTGCCCGGCCCCTCACACTCCAGCTGCGCCTGGCCTCCTCCTGCCCCTCACATAGGCCAAGTTCATCCCCACCTTGGGCTGTTCCGGCTTTTGACAGGGATGCTGAGTGGGCAGGGCATGTACTCACTGTGTGCCTGCATCATCCTGGACATGTTGAGCCCCTCCCGCATCCTCATGACACACACGCCATAGTTAAAATCAAAGGCATCGCTGGAAAGAGAGGAGGTGAGGTCCAGCTTCTCCCCCAGCTCCCACCCAGGAGATGACCTGGTACCCAGGAGACCGGGTGTCTAGAGTTGCCTCTGCCTCCTACCATACCCTTTTTGTTCTTTGGGCCTCAGTTTCCCCATCTGTATAATGTACAGGCAGAATTGGAGAGTACCCTGGAACTCTTCCAGCTCTACAGACTGTGACACTGTGGACCTACAGATCCGGTTCTCGGGGAAACCAAGTCAGCCCTGTCCTCCTGATACATTTGGATAATCCCCCACGAGTCTGCCCATGGAGGTGGGGATGGTCATTATTACAGATGCAAAAACTGAGTTTTGGAGAGGAACCTGCCCGTGATCACACAGCTAGGAAATGAGTAGCTGGGATTAGAATCATATGGCTGACACTGGAGGCCAGAGGACAGGCATGCTCATGAGAAGAGCTTCACTCATGTACTAGCCTGTCTACAGAGATGTCTGGAGGCCAGAGGCAGTGGCTCACCCCTGTAATCCCAGCACTTTGGGAGATCAAGGTGAAAGGATCACCTGAGGTCAGGAGTTAGAGACCAGCCTGGCCAACATGGTAAAACCCCGTTTCTACTAAAAAGTACAAAAATTAGGCCGGGCACGGTGGCTCAAGCCTGTAATCCCAGCACTTTGGGAGGCCAAGGCGGGTGGATCACGAGGTCAAGAGATCAAGACCATCCTGGTCAACATGGTGAAACCCCGTCTCTATTAAAAATACAAAAAACATTGGCTGGGCATGGCAGCGCGTGCCTGTAATCCCAGCTACTCGGGAGGCTGAGGCAGGAGAATTGCCTGAACCCAGGAGGCAGAGGTTGCAGTGAGCCGAGATCGCCCTGTTGCACTCCAGCCTGGGTAACAAGAGCGAAACTCTGTCTCAAAACAAAAAAAAAAAAGTACAAAAATTAGCTGGGCGTGGTGGAGCACGCCTGTAGTGCCAGCTACTCAGGAGGCTGAGGCAGGAGAATTACTTGAACCTGGGAGGCGGAGGTTGTGGTGTGAGCCGAGATTACGCTGTTGCACTTCAGCCTGGGCGACAGAATGAGACTCTGTCTCAAAAATAAAAATAAAATAATAAAATAAAATAAATTGCAAAAGCTGGGCACGGTGGCTCATGCCTGTAATCCCAGCACTTTGGGAGGCTAAGGCGGGTGGATCACCTGAGGTCAGGAGTTTGAAACCAGCCTGGCCAACATGGCAAAACCCCATTTCTACTAAAAACACAAAAATGAGCTGGGCGTGGTGGAGTACACCTGTAATCCAGCTACTCTGGAGGCTGAGGAAGGAGAATTGCTTCAACCCAGGAGGTGGAGGCTGTAGTGAGCTAAGATTTCGCCACCACACTCCAGCCTGGGTGACAGAGCAAGACTCCATTTCAATAAGTAAATAAAATAATTAAATAAAGACGTCTGGAAGACTCTTGTTCCAAAGGTGTATGAACTGCCTGATTGACACAGTGCCCAAGAGCCCACCCACCACTGGGGTTTGGGCCAATGGGCTGCGTACTGCCCTCTCTGGGCTCCTTAAATCACATTATCTCTGGGACAAGGACCTTTCAGGCCCCGCTTTTTGAAGTTTTGGAATGTTGGAATGTTGGAGGGTGGCTGGAGACCAGGTATTCTACCAACTGCTGCTGTAATTCTGTTAGCAGCAGCCGAGAGGATTGCTCCGAGTCCGACAGCTGCTTAACAGCATATCTGGAAGCGGGTCCCAAGGGCCCGCCCGACCCTCAGCCTCATGCTGTTCACTGACACCACACACGACGACATCAACACAGAAAAGCCACACATCAGGCAGGCATTCTCTGGACCTCACACAGCACAAGCTGAAGAAGACTTTGGAGTCAGCCCGGACATCCCAGGGAGTTTGGTCCTCAGGGCTTGGTTTCACTTCCCTGTTCAGTGTCACCCGGGCTGGAGTGCAGTGGCACGATCTCAGCTCACTGCAACATCTGCCTCCCAGGTTCAAGCGATTCTCCTGCCTCAGCTTCCCGAGTAGCTGAGATTATAGGTGTGTGCCACCACACCCGGCTAATTTTTTGTATTTTTAGTAGAGTCGGGGGTTTCACTATGTTGGTCAGGCTGGTCTCGAACTCCTGACTTTGTGATCCACCTGCCTTGGCATCCCAAAGTGCTGGGATTACAGGTGTGAGCCACCATGCCCGGCCAGCCTCAGAGCTCGAGCTGGCTACCTGTGTACCTTCTGAAGCCCACAGGGAGGCATAAGGTTTTCACCGAAAAACTCACATTTGCAGTTACTCTGAAAAATTAAAAGATCTGGCAATATTGGGTTCACATTTCTGCCTGGGCACTAGAGCGTATTCTGCTTGTGCTACAGCCAAGTAGCAGCCACTCTCCCTGGGGTTACCACAGTCTCCACTGCTCCCTATCATCCCACGCCCAGCCCACTGCACTTTTGGTGCTGCCTGCCTGATCCCTGCCGGCTCTGGCGTCCCTGACTCATACGTCAGAGAAGGGCATTTTCAGCCTCAGCCTGTTTCTTCTTCAGCTTTGAACAAATAGATTGAACTTCTTTCTCAAAGCCAGGGTCTTGCTCTTTCACCTAGGCTGAGTGCAGTGGTGCGATCATCACTCACTGCAGCCTCCAACTCCTGGGCTCAAGTGGGCTTCCTGCCTCAGCCTCCCAAGTGGCTGGGACTACAGATGCCAGACACGCTGCCCAGCAGGACTCAACATTTCAAGCACCCACTACTTCCTCTCCACTGCTCAAGGCCCAATGGCCCGAATTAACAGACCCCAAGCTCCTTCCCCTCCCCCAACTCACTGGAGGATGCCAATGTAGTCTTCCACTGTGGCTGGGTGAGCCAACTGCCAGTTCTTCTTGAACCCGACCACCAGAATATTGGGCTTCATTCTCCCGAGACCTGCGGCCTGCCAGGGGACAGAGGTGAGATGACCCGTCAGAGGGGCAGTTAGTGATCAGGCCTTAGGTCCGGAAAGGGCTGTGCCCTATGACTAGGGTGGGGCTCTGTCTCAGCCCCAGCCACCCTCCCATCCAAGCTTTGGGGGGTCAGGAGATGCATCCCCCTATTTGGGGTCCTGTCTGCCTGGACACACCCAGAAGAAAGGTGAAACTGCAGACAAAGCTGCCCGCCATGGCTTCTCAATCCTTGGCCGAGGACTATAGTGTCCCATGGTTGCAGCTGATCCCAGCTCCTACTTCTCTAACAAATTAATTTCCCATAAGAGACTTGAGTTTGGATGCCACGCTTGGCGTATTACCGGGTCATCTAATCCACACATCATTTACGTTTCTCTCTCTTTTTTTTTCCTTTTTTTTTTTTGAGACAGAGTGCCGTCATGTCACCCAGGCTGGAGTGCCGTGGCACGATCTCTACTAAAAATACAAAAAAATTAGGCAGGTGCGGTGGCGTGTGCCTGTAATCCCAGCTATACAGAAGGCTGAGGCAGGAGAATCGCTTGAACCCAGGAGGCGAAGATTGCAGTGAGCTGAGATCACACCATTGCACTCCAGCCTGGGCAACAAGAGCAAACAAGTCTCAAAAAAAAAAAAAAAAAGTCAGGGCTTTTTCTGCAGCAAAAGGGGCTTAAGCAAAGGGGTGTGCAGGACTTTCTGCCTTCCAGCTTGTCTCCCCGAGCCATAAGTCTTGTAGGGGAGCCCCCAGCCCACGGCACCTGCATGAGAATCTGGGCACCGCTTCGGAGGTCCTCGGCAATGACGTCGGAGTAGAAGGCCTTGATCTTCCTCTTGTTCAGCCACTTGGTGTGCCCGCTGGCGATGAGCCGGAGCTCAGGCATCCTCTGCTTGGGGGGTCCCTGTGGGTGGAAGGGGCAGGGGACACTGCCAGCTGCCTTCACCCTCCGGCCTGAGATTCAGCCCCTCTCCTGTCCTGGAGGCTGCCCCAGGGGCTCAGCAGCATCCATGGTGCCCCTTTCCTTTGATCATTTAAGGGAAGGACAAGGAGTGTGGAGAAAGAGGGGAAGAAGGGAGAGGTAGGGAGCAGGAAAGAGGCAGAGCAGCTGGGGGAGAAGCCAGCAAGAGAGACCAGGAAGGGGAGAGAACAGGTCCGTGGGGGGCCTGGCTGGGCGCCCCTTGCTCTGTATCCCCTCAGCCACCACCCCGTGGGTGGACATCACACCCAGACGGCTCCCCCAGGAGTACTGCCCTACGCCCCTCCTGGGGTCACTCACGATGAGCACATGGCCACAGATCATCAGGCTGAGGTTCTGGGTGAAGGTGCCCACAAAGTCCACCAGCGCTGGGCGGAAGTTTGGGGGCCCTGTGAGCACCAGGCACTGGGGGCTGCGGAGGGAAGAGAAAAGGACAGGAGCCATCAGGAGAGAGCCCACAGGTGGCTGGGTGCAAAAGGCACCACCCAGGCTCCCTGAACAGCGATGTGGCCACCAACATGACCCTAGGTGCTTGGGGCCTCAACTTCCTGCCTATAAATCCAGGGTGACTTTTAGGGCCCTTCCCACTCTTTTGGTGGCCTCCAAAAGGACTAGTCTCCCTGGTCCTTCCTGCTCAGGCCACCGAACACTCCCCGCACTGCTTCTCCCCTGCCCGGCCTAGCCTAGCACGGAGATGGGAAGAACAAAGCCTGGGAGTGAGGAAGCCTGTCACTTACAAACTCACCAGTTACCCAGGCAGGTGACTCAGCCTCTGCGTCAAGAGGCAGCAGAGGGCAGTGGTCAAGGGCCACGACCTGAGTCAACTGGAGCCAGACTTAATCGGCCATTCACCAGCTGTGTGACCTGGGGCCAATGACTTAACCTCTCCGTGCCTCAGTGTCCTTGTCCATGACTGGGTTAGTAATTTCCTGGACCTCAGCCGGTTGTCCTAAGGCTGTGTGAGGTACTTTGCAAGTGCCTGCCTCATAGTAAGCATGACATAAACAGATATTGTCAATAATTACTAGAATCTGGTGGGAAGGGGATGGCAGGTGCATAATTCTCCTCGACAAAGAGGGGAATCAGCTTTGAAGGGTACTCAGGAGAGGTTCACACCATCCACCCCCAGGATACTGTGAGGGGAACTGCAACACCAATTGCCTCCACAACAGAGATGCTTCCACTGTGGAAACTGAGGCACGGAGAGGTCCCTTGACTGGCCTGGTCCCCATCATGATATGTCCACCCCTGTCTCATGGCGGCTGGGTGGCTCCTCCACCTCTGTTCCCTCTCTGAGTGGGGGCCGCGCACACCGTGGGTCTGTCCAGGGCAGGTGACAGGTCTAGGCTTGGAAACTCCCAGGGTGGGGTCATCACCAGCCCCCGGGTCTTAGGTGGGTCCCAGCAGCTCTGCTCACCGGTAGTTCTTGATGTGGTCTTCTACCTCGTTGAGGCCCACTGAGTAGCTCAGGGCCAGGTTGTAGGAGCCGGCCTGTACCGAGGAGCCCCAATTTACCTCTGGGGGAGCAAGGGAGCAGTGGGTTAAGAGCAGTGTTAGGAATCACCAGAAGAAACCAGACACACATGGAGGGATGGGGGCAATGTCAGTCCTCTCTAGGCACCCAGCATCCGTGGGAGCAGGGCCACCTGGGGTGGGCAGCCTGCAGGGTGGAGGCCTGCGGACCATGTGGCTGCACACTGAAAAGTGACACATCGAGGCCGGGCGCAGTGACTCATGCCTGTAATCCTGGTACTTTGGAAGGCCGAGGTGAGTGGCTCACCGAGGTCAGGAGTTCGAGACCAGCCTGGCCAACATGGTAAAACCCCATCTCTACTAAAAATTCAGAAGTTACCCAGGTGTGGTGGCGGGCACCTATAATCTCAGCTACTCGGGAGGCTGAGGCAGGAGTTCCTCGTATTGCTTGAACCCGGGAGGTGGGGGTTGCAGTGAGCCGAGATTGTGCCACTGCAGTCCAGCCTGGGCAACAGAGTGAGAATCTGCCTCCCAACCCCCCACAAAAAAAGTTATACATCAAACTACACACAGTATCCTGCTTTGCCAAATCTTTGCAATGGCCTAGACGCCCAGGTTGAGACTTAGAATCCCAGGCCTTCTCAGAGTCCTGCTTCCTGCCCTCAGGTCACTGCCACCCCAGGGTCCCTGCCTGCAGCCAAGTAGAGCCCCTGCCCAGAGTCCAAGCTTTGTCTGCCTGCAACCACACAGCAGCCCTCGGCCACCCGAGGCCTAGGTGTGCATAGTAGCCAGCCAGCCCCTCCTGGGGGACAGCCCTAGGGAAGAGGCAGGGGCGGCCTCTGGAAGCTCACTCAGGGTCCTTTGGGCAGGGATTCCAAGGTCCTGAGTGCCCAGGGGTGGCTTAGAAGTTGGGGCATGGGACCTGAGTGGGGACATCCCTTGGGGCTCCTTGCCACATGGGGAGGGACGAGGGCGGGGGCCAGAGAGGGGCCCTAGATAGCACAGAGCCTGACTCAGAGCCCTCTAGTGGGGGCAGAGGGCAGTACCGCCTGGGTGGCTACCCTGGGGGAGGAGGGCCGCGGCCCCGCAGCTGGGACGCACACCTGGCTTCTTGTAGATCACATAGAGCAGGAGGAAGAGCACCACGCCGATGGCGATGAGGGCTGCCCACCAGGTGAGAAGGAACATGATGACCACGGAGATGACAGCCCCGAACAGCGCCGCCCACTTGTTGTAGTATTGGAATGAGGGTCTCCACCCTGGGCCGAGAGCACCAGTCAGTGGGCAGTCCTGGCACTCTGGAGCCTCTTTCTAGGCCAGAGCTGCTGGGCAGGGCCTGGCAGTAATGCCAGCAGTGCCCAGAGCCAGGGTCACAACATGTACCCACCAGCCATGAGTACCACCCACTCCTCCTCCCGGGGCTGGGTCTGCAGGCTCTGAGGCAAACCACACACCCATCTTGGCTGGCATTTCACCATGTGCCCCGGCTGTGCCAAGGAGTGGGTGTCCGGCTCTGGCCAAATACAGCCACAGGACACCCCATGCCAGCAACAGCACCAGCTCCCATGGTGCCAAGGGGGTGAGATGGAGGTGGAAGGGCTTGATTCTGCCTGGCTCCTCACCAGCAGGCCAGGCTAGGGCTGCCACGAGTGATAGCCGCCTCATGGCTCAACTCCAGGGCCATCATGCACGCTGGGGTCTATGTGAAAGGTGGCCTGGTAAAAGGCAATGGCAATTTGGAACTAGTTAGAAAAAGTCTTCCTCAAGACTTTATTGCCATCTGCCAGAAGTTTTCCATCATACATATGCAAATGTGTGAAATAATATGATATGAATCGTGCCTTCTAGAGTTGTGCAGTGTGCAACCTGTAGCACTGTACGTGACAGCCCTAGCTGTGACTTTGGGCAATTCTTTCTCTAAGGAATCAGACTCCTGATTCCTGTAAAACTGGGGAAGGAAAAGACTGGAAAACCCCTACAGATGGTAAACAACATCTGAATTCATGTAAAGTGTACACTGTCAGAGCCACTATTATTACTATTTGAGATGGAGTCTTGCTCTGTTGCCCAGGCTAGAGTGCAATGGCATGATCTTGGCTCACTGCAACCTCCTGTTCCCGGGTTCAAGTGATTCTCCTGCCTCAGCCTCCTGAATAGCTGGGATTACAGGCATCCGCCACCACACCCAGCTAATTTTTGTGTTTTTGTAGAGACAGGGTTGCACCATGTTGGCCAGGCTGGTCACAGACTTCTGACCTCAAGTGATCACCCACCTCGGCCTCCCAAAGTGCTAGGATTACAGGTGTGAGCCACCGCGCCCGGCCGAGAGCCGCTGTTACTAGACTAATGTTCCCTCTCATTGGTTTTAATTTGAGAGGTGATCTTGGGCTGCTGACCTCCACCCATGCCTCCCACTCCCACCCCAGGCTCCACTACCCCCCAGCCCCTGGGTGCCTCCTCCTGAAGTGAGGTGAAGGGTTTGCTTACCAGGCGAGTTGGTGATGGAGGCATGGAAGCAGCTGAAGTTGATGAGGGCATAGGAGCAGAGGAAGAAGTTGGAAATGATGGGGGCTATGGTGTTGAGCTCAGCTTCAGGGACCCAGGGAGAGAGAGGACAGCCTGTTGGGCAACTCCGCCGAGGAGTGGCTTGGCACCCTCCTTCCCAGAGTAGGGGACCCCAGACAGGTCACGAAGGCTCAGACAGTCTCAACCTTCTCATCTGTGAAATGGGTCTATCCTTTTGAGAAGCTCAAAGGGATGGTGCAAACTGTAAGTGCCCAGGTTTTAAGACACTGGTGGGGGCAGTGTGAGAGTAGACCCCCTCAGGCTATGGGATGATCAAGAGTAGTGGCTGTCACACTGTTTCGACCACAATTACAGTAAGAAATACTTTTTTTTTTTTTTTTTTTTTGAGATGGAGTCTTGCTTCATTGCCCAGTGGCGTAATCTCAGCTCACTGCAACCTCTGCCTCCCGGGCTCAAACAATTCTCCTGCCTCAGCCTCTCTAGTAGCTTGGATTACAGGCATGCACCACCACGCCCAGCAAATTTTTGTTTTTGTTTTTGTTTTTTGGTGGTGGTGTTGTTTTTTTAGACGGAGTCTTGCTCTGTTACCAGGCTGGAGTACAGTGGCGAAATCTCGACTCACTGCAACCTCCACCTCCTGGGTTCAAGCGATTCTCCTGCCTCAGCCTCCCGAGCAGCTGGGACCACAGGCGTGTGCCACCACTCCCGGCTAATTTTTTTTGTATTTTTAGTAGAGACGGGGTTTCACCGTGTTGGCTAGGCTGGTCTCAAACTCCTGAACTCAAGTGATCCGCCCCCTTGGCTTCCCAAAGTGCTGGGATTACAGGCATGAGCCACTGCGCCCAGCCAGAAATACATTTTGCAATGTGACTCCGGACACCAAAGGCCGTAACACAGCTCCACCCCAGTGGTAACCCACCCAAAAACTGCTTCCACTCCCGTCTCCCTGTTCCCCTCCCCTGCCACTGTCCCCAGCACCCCAGATAAACTTTTCCATATGAATCCTTGTCTCAGGGCCTGCTTCTGGGGATCCCAAAACATTATACGCACCAATGTGCCAGGCCCTCTGTCCACGATTTCATGTAATCACCTAAGAACCCTGCCTGAAGCATCTGAGATCATGGTCCTCAGTCTGAAGTCAAGTCAGACCCACCCAGATGAAAGGACATCAAATCTAAATCAGGGTGCATTGCAGGGAAATGTGTTTCTGGGCCCCGGAGAGCAGGAAGCAGACACAGGGCCAGGGAACACCAAGTCTGAACAGACTTTTCCATCCCTGCCACCTCTCCATGTGGTTCAGGACCCGGTAGTGCCTGGTGTCTGGAAAGCTTCCTTTGGGCAATAGTGACTAAGCAAATCTCATGGACTGTGATGCCAGCCTGAACAGCACGGAGTCACTGGTGGCAGGAGGGTGTCATGAGCCCAGGGAGGCTGGCCAGCAGTCTACCCCCCACCCTACTCCTGTACAAGGAGCGGGGGCCGGGGACCATCATGTCGCAGCCTGGCCACTGCCCATGCTTGGCATGGCCACCTCTCTCCTAGCGAGTTCTGCTGCCACGGCTAAGTTAATGAGGGAAGCGTCGGGTGTGTGCACATGTGAGAGTGTGTGCGTGCATGAATGCATGTAGGTGTTCCTGCACACGTGGTCTCTTCCTGCCCTTCTGAGATACACCTGTTATGCACTATTGCTCCCATTCTGTAGATGAAAAAGGTGAGGCTCAGAGAGGTGAAGTAACTTGTCTAAGGTCACACAGCTGGCACGTGGCAAAGCCTGGATAGGAAGTAGATCTAATGAACCAATTAACTGTGCCCTTTTCTCCTAAGGCATCTTCCACCTTGAAACCCAAGGGGTCTAGAAGTCCGAGGTCTGAGGAACTGGGTTTGTCTAGTTCATATACCTATGAGGATACTGACCAGCCATTTGTATCCCATCCCAAGGAGGGACCAGTCAGCTTGTCCCATGCTCTGAAGGCGTTCTGGGGGTTCATTTAGACCCGGGGAGGGGATGCTAGCAGACCGGGAGAACAGGTAGGTTCCCTTCTCACAAAGCAGAAGGCTCTGCTGCCTGACCTGGTTTGGGAGCCACCCTGCCTGGAGGTGGGAAGGGGAAGGATCACACGGCCCCCTGATGTCTCCTCCCAGGTGGGGCGTCACCCCTCAAGACTTAGCCTCTGAGTGCCCACTAACTATCACACCTAGCGGGGCACTGGGGCGGGGAGATGAGGAGGCGGGAGAAGAGCCCGGCCCCCATGACCCTCAGGGCCACCCAGGGGAACAGGAGGCCAGGCCCTGTGAGCCCCAGCAGCGCCTTACCGATGATGATGAAGGCCACGGCGATGGCATAGGCCAGCAGGTAGCCGCGCACAGGCTCCTTGTTCTTGCCGTAGCCTTTCCCGAAGAAGCCGATCAGTGGGTACAGCTGGTCTTTGCAAAGGCACTGCAGCACCAGATGCCGCGCTCACCCCCAGGCTGGGACCTGCCACTTCCCCTCCCCTGGGGCCACCTGAGCTCCAGACCAGCTCAGTGCCCTCCCCAACCTGGATCCTGGTGTCTGTTTCTGTTAAACAGGGGTGATCAGCCCTCCTCCGCTCTCCCCACTCTACCATGAAGACAGTAAAAGGGCATGACCAGGTGGGTTGGTGGCTCTGGGTACAGCTTGAAAGATGGAGTTGCGGACAGGATGCAGGTGGCACAGGTGGGAATTTGGGGTGGCGACTGCAGGTGTTATTCAAGTCACACTGCCGGGAAGGGGCTGCTTCCTTCAAGAGTTTGCTGATAGCTCCTTTTCCCTTCTGGCTAGAGATCCCGGTCTAATGACACCTCCAGGTCTTTATAGCAGTCACCCAGGGTCCCAGCCTATTGTGTCTCTGGCCCAGGCTTCCCACCCCCCATCATCTTGATCCCTTTCTGTGGCCTCACCTGGAAGACTTTGGCAGCAGAGACAAGGCAGGCCAGGGCAGAGGAAAGGGTGGCCCCAAAAATGCCGGCCGTGATCAGGGGCGCGAAGCCTGACACCATGCTCATAGTCTGCAGGGATTTGGGGATCAGGGACTCCATGGTGGGGGGCTGAGCCAGAAGCCCCCAACTGTGGCACCTCATTCCTTACTGCAGGCAGGGGCTGGGCCCTGAGCCTCCATCTGAGTCCACAACCCACCCCCGGAGATCCCAGGGTCCACTCACAGGCCGGGACAGGACAGACCTGGCTCTGAACCCCTATCCCCTAAGCCTAGGGCTCAGCTCCCCAAACTAGTCCCCCCAGAAATTTCCAGGCCTGCAAGGGGCCCTGCAGCCTCCACCCAGCCCCCACGGTGTCTGCTGGGTCAGCCCTCCTGGCGGTACCTGGTAATAGTTGATGAGGCCATAGCGGCAGCTGTGCTGCTGGGCGCATTCAGTGAAGTTCCAGCCATAGCCGCAGGCCAGTCCCTCACAGGCACCCCAGCCGGGGGTCACCGTGTCATTCAGGACCCCAGAGGCATCGCGTACCACGCAGGAGCCTGAGAGGGGGAAGGAGAGCATGGGGAGATCTCCCTTCCCTCCTTACTCGGTCCTCTTCCAGCCCCACCTCTGCAGAGGGTGAGACACTGCAGAGGAGGGGGCAGCCCCCGCTTCATCACGCGGGGATGATGACAATGGCGGCATGCTGACGGTGTGCCCGGCGCCATGCTAAGTACTTTACAACAACCTATGAGCAGGCGTCGCTATCACTTTTGTTGTCGTTGCCATTTTACAGGGGCCCAGAGAGCTTAAGCGACCAAGATCACAATGTCCTCCTGAGATAAGCTGGACCAAGTCCCTTGGCCATTTGTGAACAGCTTGCCTCAAAGGGGACCTCTGGGAGCAAGTGCACCTGTGAGGATCTCAGTTCAAGGCAGGTTTTAATAGCCCAGGCCTGGGCTCAAAGCCCGGCTCCACCATTCAGTGGCTGTGTGACCCCAGGAAGGTCATTTAACCTCTCTGAGCTCCTGTTTTCTCCTTGGTGAAACAGGGAAAATGACAGTGATGGGATTGGCATGAAAAGGGCTGGGCACGTGACGAGTCAGTTGCGGGTATCATCACCATCATCATCACTCCTGGGGTTGGAGCAGGATTTGTCCTGTAGGATCTTCACACTCATGAACCTGGACCCTCAAGGAACCCAAGGAGCCTGGTCTGACCCTGCCACATCCACCGCCATGAAGATGTTCTGATCATTGCCAAGACACCCCAGAGACAGGTTCAAGGTTCCACATCCTGAGGTCACCACACCCTCCCAGCCCAGCTCTCCCTGTTAGAGAGTCAAACCCCACCCTCTGATCCCCTCCGGTGGTTTGGGGTTTGGACACCGCACGGCGGAGACCAGGTCCCTCCCCTTCCTGACTGGCTGGGCTGGCCACTTACCAATGGTGGCTGAGATGGCCAGGTAAGAAATGGTGGTCCAGAAAATGGCCATGAGGGTCCCCTTGGGGATGGCTATGGCAGGGTCCTGTAGGAGGGAGGGAGAGAGGGGGACAGGGAGGGAGGGCGGGCATCAGACGACCCCTGGGCCTCCTTCCAGGCCCATGCCCCTTGTCCAAGGCTGAGGCTGAGGGCAGCAACCTCTGACCTTGGCCCCTCAGAGCCCCCGTTCCAGCACAGAGGAAGAAGCCTCATGACTGAGGACACAGAGGGAAGCAACCAAGATCACGGGGTGGAGACTCCACCCGAGGCCCTGGGAGATGGAAGCAGAGAGAAGAAATTCAACAGCTCCACGCCTAGGCCATGAGGGCGCTTGGCCAGGGCTTGCTTTAGGGTGGGGAAGGCGGGGGCAAGGCGGTGGGCTCTGGAGTCGGCCAGCCCGGGATCAGTTTCAGGTGGCCAACGGGGCAGGGTGCTGTGTTCTCATGCCCCGGCCCTCACCTGTCAGGGATGTTGGTGAAATAAATTAATCCACATTGAGATCCTAGACCAGGACTCCCCTCCCCACCAGCCCTCACAGCGTGGTCAATCATTATGCACCAATTGATTTGTCTGGCTCCTCAACAATAAATAGGATACGCCCCGAACGTTCCCTTTCCATTCTGGGAAAGAAATCTCTGCTCGTATTTTCTTGTTTCTTTTCTTTCTTTCTTTCTTTTTTTTTTTTTCTGAGACAGAGTATTGCTCTGTCACCCAGGCTGGAGTGCAGTGGCACAATCTCGGTTCACTGCAACCTCCACTTCCTGTGTTCAAGTGATTCTCCTGCCTCAGCCTCCAAGTACCTGGGACTATAGGTGTGCACCACCACTATAGGTGCCCTAATTTTTGTACTTTTAGTAGCGACGAGGTTTTGCCGTTATGGCCAGGCTGGTCTCGAACTCCAGACCTCAAGTGATCCACCCACCTCGGCCTCCCAAAGTGCTGGGATTATAGGCGTGAGCCACTGAGCCTGGCATGCTTGTATTTTCTTAACAGTGATAATAGTGATAACAAGCCTTCATGAACACACCACGTGCTACACTATTCTAGGTACTTTCTCAAATGTAATTTCCTGAGAAGTGGGCTGGGCAGCCCGGCTCAGCTGGTGGGGAAGCTGAGGGCAAAGAGCCGTGAGGAAGACCAAGCTCTGGTCCTGACCACATCAAGGTCCATAGCCTCAGGCTCCGAGAAACTGGTCCTGGGTGCTGCAACACAGGCTGGGATTTTGACAGCAAGTTTAAGACCTACGCACCCTCCAGGCACAGACCCAACCCGGAGGCAAAGGCCAGGCCTGTCACGGGATGTCAATTTCTAAACCTCCCCAGCCTTTCCTGGGCTGTTCTGCACACTGTCCAGTTAGCAGATGGAGCCACAGATTAGCAGCAAGTCAAACTAGGGTGGTGGGGGAGGCTGCCAGGAGGAGGTGAGAGGGAGGGTGTGGCAGTCCTGAGAAAAATGGGAGGAGAGATGCAGAGCTGGAATCTCGAGCCCGGGTCTGCTGGGATCCCCAAGCCTTGGCCAAGTCCCCTCTGTGGCCCAGGTGTGGAACTGTTGAATTTCTTCTCTCTGCCTCAGCCTCCCAGGGCCTTGGGTGGAGTCTCCACCCCAGGGCTCTGCAAGGCCCCTGCACCCGTGGACCTGCTATCCCTACCTGGTATACCTGTTTGACTTAACTGGGCCATGCACATGGGATCCCCAGTCCCAAAGCCAACAGAACTTACCAGCCTCCCACCCTGCCTCTAGTGGATTGAATAGTGTCCCCCAAAATTCACATCCACCTAGAATCTCAGAATATGGCCTTATTTGGAAATAGAATCTTTGCAGGTGCCATTAGTGAAGACGACGTCATACTGGATGAGGGTGGGCCCCGCATGCAATGACTGGTGTCCTTGGGAGGAAAGGACCCACAGAAGAAATGCCATGTGAGACAGAGACAGAGATTGGACTGATGTGGTTGCCAGCCAAGGAAAGCCACTGTCAGCAGCCACCAGAAATTAGGAAGAGGAAAGGAAGTGTTCTCCCCTGGGCTTTCAGGGGGAGCTTGGTCCTGCCAACACCTGCGTTCCAGACTTTTAACCTCCTGAACTGGGAGAGAATATAGGTGTTTTTAAGGCACCCAACTGGTGGTAAAAACACAAATATGTCAGCCATCAACCCCCACCCTGCCTCCTGCATCTAAATCTGAGATCTCAGCCCTTGGATGCACTGGGAAGAGGCGGGCGGGGAAGAGGTGAGCTGGGTAGAGGTGGGCTGAGATGTGGACCTGGATGTGCCTGCCTTTGAGATTGCTGCCTGGGAATTTAACCAAGTTAGACTCTTCCCTGCTGTGTGCACTGGGAGAAGCCCCTTAACACCCCTGAGCCTGTTTCCCCATCTGTGAAATAAGCAAATAACTTGGCATGTGACAAGTGCCCATAAATATGAGCTGTTGGGGTGGGGGCAGTATTGTGAACAGGGATGTGGCCTGAGGCTAGACAAAAAATATTTGTTGAATGATGAAATTGTGATGCAGTTGAGGTCTCTCTGTTTTAGAAACTGGCACTCAGGCGGGGTGCGGTGGCTCATACCTGTAATCCCAACACTTTGGGAGGTCGAGGCAGGCAGATCATCTGAGGTCAGGAGTTTGAGACCAGCCTGACCAACATGCAGAAACCCTGTCACTACTAAAAACACAAAATTAGCTGGGTGTGGTGGCACATCCCTGTAATCCCAGCTATTTGGTAGGCTGAGGCAGGAGAATCACTTGAATGTCGCAGCGAGCTGAGATTGCACCATTGCACTCCAGCCTAGGCAACAGGAGTGAAACTCCATCTCAAAAAATAAAACAGAAAAGAAACTGGCACTCGGGCTCCTCTGCCACCTGTGTAGTCCTGGGCAGGCCTCTGAACCTCTATGACCTTGGCTTGCTTGTCTATATCATGGTAAAAATGACAATGATGACAAGAAGCTCTTAGCTCCTCTTGCGAGCCGGGCACTGTTCTAAGCACTGTATTTTACATGAATTAGTGCATGGAATCCTCTCCACTGCCCTGCAGTGCGGGGGCTGTACTAGTCCCATTTTAGAGTTGGGGAAGCTGAGGCTCAGGGAGTTTTAAAGGATCTTGCCCAAAGTGTCACAGTGAAGGCTCCACACACGGTGGCTCTGCTGCTGAGGATGCTCCCACAGGATGGGTGAGGACATCCAACAGCCAAGGGACCCTTACGGCTTGGGACCATTTAGGACAGAGTGCAGGTGCTGGCCCCACCCAGTTCCAGACAGCTGACACCAGCCGGTTGATAACCTAAGAAGATGGATAAGGCAGATAAATTCCCAGGCAACTATGTAACGAGGCTCCTTGGAATCCAGGCTGTCTGAGCACAGGCCCAGCCTCTGCGGGACCTCAGGACACACAGACCAGGCCTCTGCCAGCCATTCCCCAGACAAAGGAGAGGAGCCGACCAACACCTATTCTGCAATTTCCAGGCTGGTTAAAGCCAGCCTGGCTTCACAATCACCTCCATGCACGGTTCTTTTCTTTCCTTTTCCTTTTTCTTTTTCTTTTTTTTTTTGAGATGGAGTTTCACTCTTGTTGCCCAGGCTGGAGTGCAGTGGCACAATTCTGGCTCACTGCAACCTCCACCTCCTGGGTTCAAGCAATTCTCCTGCCTCAGCTTCCCAAGTAGCTGGGATTACGGGTGCGTGCCACCACGCCCAGATAATTTTTGTGTTTTTAGTGGAGACTAAAACATAGTTTCACCATATTGGCCGGGCTGGTCTCGAACTCCTGACCTCAAGTGATCCACCTGTCCCAGTCTCCCAAAGTACTGGGATTATACGGATGAGCCGCTGTGCCTGGCCCAATGCACAGTTCTTACTTCGCTTAAGAAAATGCGTCAAGGAGCGACTGGAAGTTGAGGGTGGGGGTTAGCTGTGGTGTCCAGCAGGGGGCTAGCTCCCCACTCATCACCCTTGCTTGCCTGCCACCTCCTTTGAGCAAAGCCTCCACCGGCTTCCCATCTTTCAAAACCCAGCTCTGGAGCCTCCTGCACCCAGAAATTCTGCTGGAGCCCCTGCCAACATTAGTCTCTCCTCCCCCACGATGCAGCACTTTGTGCCACTACTCAAACACTGCATTTCACCACAATTCAGTCAACAATCATGTACGGAGCACCTAGTATGCGCCAGGCTCCGAGCTGGGAGGGAATAGAGAGATGGAGGCAAGCCTCAGTTCTCCAGATGCTGGGCAACAGATATGTTTGGCCAGACATCATTTTGCTGGGGAAACCATGGCGCTGAAGGAAGGGCTGGTAGAGATGATAGTTGAAGGAGGTATTTGCAACAGGCCAGGTGCAGTGGCTCATGCCTGTAATCCCAGAACTTTGGGAGGGCAGATCACTTGAGGTCAGGAGTTCGAGACCAGCCCGGCCAACATGGTGAAACCCCCGTCACTATTAAAAATACAAACATTAGCCAGGCATAGTGGCAGGTGCCTGTAGTTCTAGCTACTCTGGAGGCTGAAGCACGAGAATCACTTGAACCTGGGAGGCGGAGGTTGCAGTGAACTGAGATCATGCCACTGCACTGCCCTTCAGCCTGGGAGAGAGTGAGAGGTCATCTCAAAAAAAAAAAAAAAAAGGCCCGGCACCGTGGCTCACGCCTGTAATTCCAGCACTCCTGGGAAGCCAAGGCGGGTGGATCACTTTAGGTCAGAAGTTGGAGACCAGCCTGGCCAACATAGTGAAACCCCGTCTCTACTAAAACATATAAAAATTGGCCAGGCCGAGGCCGGGAGCGGTGGCTCAAGCCTGTAATCCCAGCACTTTGGGAGGCCGAGGCGGGTGGATCACGAGGTCAAGAGATCGAGACCATCCTGGTCAACATGGTGAAACCCCGTCTCTACTAAAAATACAGAAAAAAATTAGCTGGGCATGGTGGTGCGTGCCTGTAATCCCAGCGACTCAGAGGGCTGAGGCAGGAGAATTGCCTGAACCCAGGAGACGGAGGTTGCGGTGAGCCGAGGTCGCGCCATTGCACTCCAGCCTGGGTAATAAGAGCGAAACTCCGTCTCAAAAAAAAAAAAAAAATTAGCCAGGCTGTGGTGGTGTACCCCTGTAATCCCAGCTACTTGGGAGGCTGAGGCAGGAGAATCGCTTGAATCCGGGAAGCAGAGGTTGCAGTGAGCCGAGATTACACCACTGCTCCAGCCTGGACAAGAAGAGGTAAACCCTGTTTCAAAAAAAAAAAAAAAAAGAAGAAGAAGAAAGAAAGAAAAAAAGAAAGAGAAGCAGAACAGAACTTTGAGGGTAAAAAAGCCAGCATAGGGAATTGCAGGTAGAGAGCGCAGCATAGGTGAAGGCGTGGAGGAGGGACAGGGTAACGTGGGCAAAGCAGCAGTCTCAGGGCTGAAGCAGGCTCATAAGGGTGGCACTGGTCAGAGGTGAGGCTGGACAGATGGGCTGGAGCCTTGAATGCCGAGCTGAGAAGCCTGCCTGCAGCAAGGCAATGGAGAGCCCTGGGAGGGTGTCAGCCCAGCGAAGATGTGCATGAACAAGGCTGAGTTCTTTTTTTTTTTTTTTTTTTTTTGAGACGGAGTTTCACTCATGTTACCCAGGCTGGAGTGCAATGGCGCGACCTCGGCTCACCGCAACCTCCGCCTCCTGGGTTCAGGCAATTCTCCTGCCTCAGCCTCCTGAGTAGCTGGGATTACAGGCACGTGCCACCACGCCCAGCTAATTTTTTGTATTTTTAGTAGAGACAGGGTTTAACCATGTTGGCCAGGATGGTCTCGATCTCTTGACCTCGTGATCCACCCGCCTCGGCCTCCCAAAGTGCTGGGATTACAGGCTTGAGCCACCACGCCCGGCCAAGGCTGAGTTCTTAAGGTCACAGCTGGGCCAGTCTTCCTCTAAGGCTGACAGTTCCGGAAACTAGGGAGGAGCCTAGCCATTTTGCGGTGCCCCTCAAAACCTACAATGCAGCTGGTCTTCATAAACAACCGCATAATGGAATAGAATTGGTTGGACTGGATTGAACTGAGCTGAGTAGGACTGGACTGGATTTTAGAGGCCCTGCCTCCTGGGTCTCAGTGCCCAGAGGCAGATGTCAGTAGAGCAGGGAGCAGGATTCTGCTCACTGCCCCCTGCAGTGCTGGGACATGGGATGGATGGGGATTCTTCTCACCCTGAGGTCACCGGAGATGTTGGCCCCTGCAAGGATGCCCGTGGCTGAGGGGAAGAAGATGGAGAACATTCCAAAGAAGGTGCCATCTGGGCCCCGCCAGTCAGGCACCAAGTTCTGGACAAAAATGTCCCCTGCAAAAGCAAGGCCTGAGTAAGGCTCACGTGGAGGGCTTGACCCCACTCGGTGGGACCCACTGGGCAGGCAGCCCCTGATCATGGGATTGGGGAATCCCATCCTCCCAGTGTCCACACCATGGGCCAGATTCCTGGGCAGACACTACTCCCTGTCCCCAGAGCCATGGTCAGGGCCCCGGTCTGCACATACCCCGGTAGCTGAAGAAGCCTTTGGAGGCCTTGTCCTCAGATGGGGGGATCAGCGTCCCCACCAAGTAGTTGGCAAAGGAGACCATGATGACAAGGAAGAACAGCACCTGGGCCTGGGGGACGAAGGACCCCACAGGTCAATTATTCTGGTTCTACCTCTTTGGGAAGCCCCACCAGAAAATGATTTGCCCAGACCGGTCACCCTGTTATTCACTCACTCATTCATTCATCACACGTTATACAGCAGGCTCTGTTTAAGGAGCTGGGAATATAGCAGAGAACAAGACCACCAAAACCTCTTGTCTTGGCTGATAAATAAGGAAGATGAATTTAAAGTAAGAAGAGCTTTGGGCTGGAGGCGGTGGCTCATGCCTGTAATCCCAGCACTTTGGGAGGCCAAGGCAGGTGGATCATCTGAGGTCAGGAGTTCAAGACCAGCCTGGGCAGCATGATCAAACCCCGTCTCTACTAAAAATACAAAATTAGCCAGGCACGGTGGCGGGCACATGCCTGTGATCCCAGCCACTCAGGAGGCTGAGGCAGGAGAATCGCTTGAACCTTGAGAATCGAGATTGCACCACTGTACTCCAGCCTGGGCAACAAGAGGGAGACTCTGTCTCAGAAAAAAAAGAGATTTGGGAGGCTGAGGTGGGCGGATCACCTGATGTCAGGAGTTTGAGACCTGCCTGGCCAACATGGTGAAACCCTGTCTCTATAAAAAATACCAAAATTAGCCAGGTATGGTGGCGTTGCCTGTAATCCCAGCTACTCAGGAGGCTGAGCCTCAAGAATCACTTGAACCTGGCAGGCAGAGGTTGCAGTGAGCCAAGATCATGCCACTGCACTCCAGCCTGGGTGCGAAGCAAGATTTTGTCTCAAAAAAAATAAAAAGAAAAGAAAAGGCACAGGGCCAGGGAGGGCCCAGGCCTGGAGACCCCCGAGTCTCCATGTGACCACCTCCGTGTCCCCCTCCTCCATGTCCTCCTCACCTTGGACTCCCACTCCATGCCAGCCAGGGAGATGGCCAGCAGCACAGTGACGGAGACCACACCGATGATGCGGATGTCGTTAGTGGGGTCCACGATGGGTGTCCCATACTCCTGGGGAGGGAAAATGAGCCATGCTGCAAGCCACGCTCTGAACTCCCCACCCCCCCAGACTCCGCCCACCTAGGAGGCACCTCCTGTGGGGTGCGCTCTGCTAAGACGAAGCTAACTCAAGCACCACCCCTGCCATCGAGTCCCCAAAGCAGCTGCTTCACGGGCCTGGACAACATGGCCCTAAAGGCAACACACACCCCCAAAGGGGACTTGTGGGAAAGGAATGGTCTCTATTTGATGAGACTGTCACTCTCACCCACAGTGATCAGGCTGTGGTTGCTGACGGGTGAGGTCAGGCAGGGAGCAGGCGGGCCCAGCCCAGATAGCGGGGAGGAGAGTGCAGTGGGCTGCCGGATCCCTCTACCCAGGGTCCAGCCCCCCGCCTCACCTGGAGCAGGTCCCGCACGGTCTCTGCAAAGCCCACAGTGTGCATGGCCACACCCACGGCATTGGCGAAAGCGAAAATGAGGCCGATGGAGCCCCCGAGCTCTGGGCCCAGACTCCGGGAGATGAGGAAGTAGGTGCCACCTATGAGGGCAGAGCCGGGAAGCATGAAACCAGAGGGGTCGGTTGGCTGGGGCAGATTCGGGAAGGCAGAGGCCAGGAGAGAGTGGCCATGGGACCCATGGAGTCGGAGACAGCCAAGGCCATCTCGTGGTGTAGAGAGCCTGTCTACAGCGCTGTCCCGGAATCACAGGAGCGGCTGGGGTATCCCATTGGGTTGGGGCAGTCTGCAGTCCTGTTCCCAGGATGAGCCCACGAGAGGAGGGCCTTGGTGGGAAGGGGGATGGCCCACCTGACTTGACCTTGCCGTTGGTGGAGATGGCTGAGATGGAGAGGCCTGTGATGGAGGTCACCGTGACCGACAACAGGATGATGATCCAGGTCAGGACTGCGGGGACACCCAAAGGTAGTCAGGGCATTTCCCGGGGGAGGAGCCGCTTGCCTACTCATTCACCATGCCGCCTAAATTCACCTCCCTTCTCTGAGCCTGTTTTCTCATCTGAAAAATGGGTGTCTATCTACCTCCTGGCATACTTCGAATAGCCAGGGAGCCCTTGAACTAGCATATCTGGGATTGTTAGGTATGGAGGGGAAGCCACCTTTTTTTAAATAAAAATATTAAGTAGCAGTTCCACCCCATGATCACCTCTGGAAGCCAAATCCGTGCTGTGTTTTTACCTGCCTCATATAAATCCTACAACGGCTCTGTGAGGTAGGTTCTGTTATCACCCCCATTTTCCTAATGAGGAATCCAGGGCTCAGAGAGGTTAAGAAACTTGCCCAAAGTCACACAGCGGGGTACAGAGCTAGCATCTGAGTACTGTTCTGTCCAGAATGCAGCTTAATTTATTTTTATTTTTACTTTTGAGACAGGAGTCTCACTCTGTCACCCAGGCTGGAGTGCAGTGGTATGATCTTGGCTCACTGCAACCTCCACCTCGTGGGTTCAAATGATTCTCCTGCCTCAGCCTCCTGAATAGCTGGGATTACAGGTGCCTGCCAATTTTTTATATTTTTAGTAGATACAGGGTTTCACCATCTTGGCCAGGCTGGTCTTGAACTCCTGACCTCGTGATCCACTTGCCTTGGCCTCCCAAAGCGCTGGGATTACAGGCGTGAGCCACGGTGCCTGGCCAGAGTGCAGCTTTCTAACCTGCATGCTTTGGGATAGAAATGGGCTTCGAGAGGTTAAGTGGCTTACCGAGGGCAAACAGCCCTTATACCTGCTGACACCATGTCCAGGGTGCCTCTGCCGTGCCACCTTGACAGCATGCCTCTGCCGCTGCAGGGGACCGAGGCTGCACCAGGGAGGAGCAGGCCTGGCCCTTGGTCTGTGCAGCTCAGGTTTAATCCTGCACCCTCGGGGCCTGAGAAGAACAGGGTTCGGGCATGCCCTCCCTCCTCTACCCCAGAGGGGTACTCACCAATGCCTGCCTGGGCCGTAATCCAGGGCAGCCGCAGGTAGAGGATCACGCCCCAAATGTTGAGCATGCAACGGATCTGCGAGGAGAGGGGAGTCAGAGGCCACCTGAGTGTACACCCCAAGGCTAAATGCACAGGTCCCTGTCCCTGGCTATGGCAGGGTTTCAAGTACCTAGGCCCTGGGGACACCTGCGTCCCTTCTTCACCCACTTCAATAGGTTCTGAGTCTGGTTCTATGGGGCAGGAGGGTGAGAGGCACCCGGAGACCCACCTGTCCCTCTCACCTACTTTCCTGTTCCCATTGAGGCCTGACACTGGGCTATGAGCACTGTCCCCCATCACTCTATCCATCCCAAGCCCGCGATCTTGTGTCTGCCAGCCCCCATCATGGCCCGAGTGGCCAGCAGTTGACCCAGAGCCTGGCATTTACAGGGAGCTCAGCAAATGCCAGCTGAGCCAGTGCCCCATGTATGAGCAGATATCAGAGCTCAGGTGGCTGTGACTTCAGCTTCCAAATTTAAAGCAAAGCCAGAAGCCGAAATGGAGGCTGAAGCTTCCAACTGGGAGGGGCTGGGGTGGTCGCTGTCCCCACCAAGTTTCAGGGCCATTCCGAGCTCTGACAACACAGCCCGGGAGAGAGATCCCAGCTCTGAATATGAGACTCCGGGGATCAGGAGGGGCTCAAGGTTCAGAGGAAGAAATGGAGGCACAGCCAGTTGGCAGTTAAGATCAGAACCCCAGCCTCCTGCCTCCCAGAGTAGGGCTAAAGCCTTCGACATCCCATGAAGTCCCCTCCATAAAGTCCCATAATGTCTCCAAAGCCAAGTGTACTTGATTCTTTGCTGTCTGGAGACTTAATCCTGCTCCACACTACAGCAAACCTTTTTCTTCCCTTCATGAAGGGGAAAAACACGTTCACGGATTTCGGCGTTTAGTGCAGCCCCCTGGTGGCTTTTTAGGGAAACACAGTTTCTTCTAATAACTCCCTGGCAGGCATTGATCTATTATCTATTGATTTATTAACTCATTGAATTCACTGTACAGATGGGGAAACTGAAGTCCCACCAGGGCTTGAGAGTCAGAGCTGAGCCTGGATGGAGCTCTGCCTCCCCTCCCATTTCTGGACATCAAGCACCTACCCACACCCCACTCACCATCACCCCCTTGACCCAGCCGAAGCGCACAGGCTCTTCAGGGTTCTTCTCGCTGCTGGTGCCTGCCTCGTCTTCCACCAGCCCATCGGTCATCTCGTGGCTGGGCCGGCTGTCAAAGGCCAGGGCATGCAGGTGTCTGCCTTCCTGCTGGCAGCCCAGAGACCACGAGTCAGGCAGGTAGCGTTGCTAGGGACGGCATCTCTGCGTCCAGCTCACCGATCTGTACCACTGTACTCCATACTGGGCACCCCCTGACCTCTCAGCTCACAGGGTGTAGAGCTGCTTGAGAGGCTTTTAAAATGCTCCCCAGGTCGGGCACGGTGGCTCAAGCCTGTAATTCCAGCACTTTGGGAGGCTGAGGCGGGTGGATCACGAGGTCAAGAGATCAAGACCATCCTGGTCAACATGGTGAAACCCCGTCTCTACTAAAAATACAAAACATTAGCTGGGCATGGTGGTGCGTGCCTGTAATCCCAGCTACTGAGGAGGCTGAGGCAGGAGAATTGCCTGAACCCAGGAGGCAGAGGTTGCGGTGAGCCGAGGTCGCGCCATTGCACTCCAGCCTGGGTAACATGAGTGAAACTCCGACTCAAAATAAATAAATAAATAAATAAATAATAAAAATAAATAAATAAAATGCTCCCCAGGCCGAGCATGGTGGCTCACACCTGTAGTCCCAGTACTTTGGGAGACCAACGTCAGTGGACCGTTTGAGCTCAAGAGTTCAAGACCAGACTAGGCAACAAAGTGAAACCCTGTCTCTACTAAGAAATACAAAAATTAGCCAGGCATGGTGGTGTGCACCTGTAGTCCCAGCTACTCGGGAGGCTGACATAGGAGGATCCACCTCTTGAAGCCAGGAGGTGGAGGCTGCAGTGAGCCGAGGTGAGATGCCACGGGAGACTGAGGGCCTTGGGTGCTCGGTTTCATAACAGCATCTCCCCCTGGGAGAGCAGTGGCCTTGGAACTAATTAGGCAGTTACCCAGCTTTATATCGGGGGATGGGATTATTATCACCCTGGAGAAGTTAAAGCTTGTCCAAGGCCACACAGTTGGTCCCTGGAGGGCTGGCTCTTGAAACCAGGCTCTACCTCTGCGGCACTGGGAGGTCTCCTGGTTTGTGCCCCAAGTGACTGACGCCCTCCTCTGGGGCTTTCTTCCTGCCACTTCATCTCAGTATGGAGAAAGGGCCGTGTTTTGGTTTGCTCTAAGGTAGGGAAGAGTCCTGTGAATTTAATAAGTCTCAGCCCCAGTATCAAGAACAATTCTGGGCCAGGTGCAGTGGCTCGCGTCTGTAATCCCAGCACTTTGGGAGGCCAAGGTGGGCAGATCATTTGAAGTCAGGAGTTCGAGACCAGCCTGGCCTACATGGTGAAATCCTGTCTCTACTAAAAATACAAAAAATAGCTGGGCGTGGTGGCGTCCGCCTTTAGTCGCAGCTACTCAGGAGGCTGAGGCAGGAGAATCACTTGAACCCAGGAGGTGGAGGTTGCAGTGAGCTGAGATCGCACCACTGTACTCCAGCCTGGACAACAGAGCCAGACTCCATCTCAAAAAATAAATAAAGAAAGAACAATTCTGCCCAATTGTCATATAGGAAAAGTGAGGCCCCACAGGGGTCATGACGATCCAGCTTCCAGCCCTCCACTCTTCACAGTCTGGCCTCCCAGGCAGCAAACCCGGCTAGCCCCCTCTCTGAGGTGGACCTTCCCAGGCCCTTCTTTCCCTGTCTCTTTCAGGGGTGTGCAACCTGCTTGCATGCCTCTACTCACTGGAAGCTCATTGCCTCTCTGGGCCTCCCACTCTACCTCTGGGTTGCTAGTGTTCGGCTAATACAAATTCCAACATGTGCCCAGAGTTCTGCAGCTCCACTATTTCACAGGGGCCTCTCCACCCAGGAGGAAGACGCTCCTCCATCTCCACAGTGCAGACAACAGACCGAGGCTCAGAGAGGTTAGGCAACTGGGTCGAGATCACACAGCAGGAAAGTGGCTGGTCTTCTAAGACAGCACTCACCTTGAGGAAGGAGTGCAGGTCAGCCAGTGTGGGCCGGACCTTCCGGGGCTCACCAGGCTGGGTGCTGTTGGCATAATGATCGTACGCGGGCACCACGTCGATGGTGTTGTAGCCAAAGGTGCGCATGCAGAAGGTGCTGCTGTGGGTCAGGTGGCTGGGGTGGCTGCTGTCGTAGGCAGCTGGTGGTGAGGGCTCATCACTGCTCAGCAGCGTGCTGATGGTGAAGCGCCCGCTGCACAGAGTGGGGTCCCCAGGCGTCTCTGTGGCGGGCAGTTCTGCCATTGTGGCCTGGGTGTCCAGGGAGGGGCTAGGGTCGGCAAGCACACACCGGGTGGTTTTATAGGCTGTGTCTGCGCTGAGGAGGAGGCGGGGAGGTCGGCCTAAACCGCCCGTGGCTGGTGAGCAGCGTCCCCAGACAGGGCCAGAGGCAGAGCACCATTTGATTGCTGAGATAGGAGACCTGCCTTGGATCTGGAGAGGTGGGCTGGCCCAAAGCCAGCCATGCCCTGAGTCCTGGAGTGGCTCTGCTGAGTCTGGGGGTGGCAGAGATCTCCAGCCAGGACCCAAGAAGGAACAGTTGTCAGAGAGGACCCTGAGGGGCCCTCTAAGGGATCCTAGAGATAGTCTCGTGACCTGAGAACCTACTGTGAGCCCTACTCTATGAGAATTCAAAAATCACTCGTATTACTATTTGATCTTAAAAATTTTACTTAGTAGGCCAGGCGCGGTGGCTCACGCCTGTAATCCCAGCACTTTGGGAGGCTGAGGCGGGTGGATCACAAGGTCAAGAGATCGAGACCATCCTGGTCAACATGGTGAAACCCCGTCTTTACTAAAAATACAAAAAATCAGCTGGGCATGGTGGCGCATGCCTGTAGTCCCAGCTACTCAGGAGGCTGAGGCAGGAGAATTGCCTGAACCCAGGAGGCGGAGGTTGCGGTGAGCCGAGATCGCGCCATTGCACTCCAGCCTGGGCAACAAGAGCGAAACTCCGTCTCAAAAAAAAAAAAAAAAAAAAAAAAATTTTACTTAGTATTGGGAGGCCTAGGAGGGTGGATCACCTGAGGTCAAGGGTTCAAGACCAGCCTGGCCAACATGGCGAAACCCTGTCTCTACTAAAAAAAACAAAAATTAGCCGGGCATGGTGCTGGATGCCTGCAACCCCAGCTACTTTGGAGACTGAGGCAGGAGAATCACTTGAACCCGGGAGGTGAAGGTTGCACTGGGCACCACTACACTCCACCTGGGTGAGAGAGTGAGACTCTGCCTCAAAAAAAAATTATTTAGTAGTTTTGAATAGATTAATTATATAATTTCCTTTTTTGAGACAGGGTCTTGCTCTGTCACCCAGGCTAGAGGGCAGTGGCAAAATCACAGCTCACTGCAGCCTCAACCACCAGAGCTCAAGGATCCTCCCACCTCAGCATCCCAAGCCGCTGGGACCACAGGCACACACCATCATGCTTGGCTAATTTGTTTTTACTTTTTGTATAGATGGGGTCTCTAGTCACCCCAGCCACTCGACCCTGGTTACCCAGGCTGGTCTCAAACTCCTGGACTAGAGTCTCCTACCTTGGCCTCCCACCTCCCAAAGCGTTGGGATTGCAGGCATGAGCCACTGCGCCTGGCTGGTATAACACTTTAAAAGATGTGTACACACACACACACACACACACACACACACACACACACACACACACGTTAGTCTCTCTAGCTCCAACCTGTCTTCCAATGTCTGTGTGTCCCTCCAGAGACATCTCAGTATATATACAAGTAACTCCAAACCAGAGCTCAGCGGGTCAGTTAGGGAGCCAGCGCCTTTCTCAGCTCCTGAAGCCATCCCAGACAAGGCGCCCCAGCTCCTTGGGAGCTGCCCCCTCCCAGTGCTGGGCCAGGTCAGACCTGATTTTGCAAGCACTCTGAGGCCACACCTTGAACGCACAGTGGCAGGGGAGAAGCACCCTCGTTACCAGCAGTGCCAAAGCCATTGCAGGGAGGCAGTGGTTGAAATTTGAGCTGTTGGCTGGGCGCGGTGGCTCATGCCTATAATCCCAGCACTTTGGGGGGCCGAGGCAGGTGGATCACCTGAGGTTGGGGGTTCAAGAATAACCTGACCAACATGGAGAAATCCCGTATCTACTAAAAATACAGAATCGGCTGGGCGCGGTGGCTCAAGCCTGTAATCCCAGCACTTTGGGAGGCCGAGGCAGGTGGATCACAAGGTCAAGAGATCGAGACCATCCTGGTCAACATGGTGAAACCCCATCTCTACTAAAAATACAAAAAATCAGCTGGGCATGGTGGCGCGTGCCTGTAGTCCCAGCTACTCAGGAGGCTGAGGCAGGAGAATTGCCTGAACCCAGGAGGCGGAGGTTGCGGTGAGCCGAGGCTGTGCCATTGCACTCCAGCCTGGGTAACAAGAGCGAAACTCCGTCTCAAAAAAAAAAAAAAAAAAAAAATTACAGAATCAGCTGGGCATGGTGGCGCTCGCCTCTAATCCCAGCTACTCAGGAGGCTGAGGCAGGAGAATCGCTTGAACCTGGGAAGCAGAGGTTGCCGTGAGCCGAGATCGCGCCATTGCACTCCAGCCTGGGCAACAAGAGCGAACCTCAGTCTCAAAACAAAAAAAAAAAAAGAAATTTGAGCTGTCAGGGGATGAAAGGTGAGTCAGGGTATCGAGAGATGAGTGAGTGAGTGCGCACTTAATGTGTTGCCAGAAATGGAGAAATGGAGGGCGTATTTTCCCAGCTATTGTGAGGGCTCTCGGTGTCAGCCCCTGTGATCTGGCCTCACCTATGGTCACCTTTCCTCCGAAAGGCCAGCATTCAGTGACTGATGGATCTAGGTATAAAGACCTGGCGCCCTGCCCCAGCTGAGGCTTTGGGTATACACCAAAACTCACTTATCCCTCTGCCCAGCCCTGCTTCCTTCCCTTCTACCCACAAGTACCAACCCCAAGAGTCTCCCTGTTGAATGCCCTGCACGCATTCCTCTATCTTGGAGTCTGCTACTCTGGAGTGAGTGAACTAGTGGCTCACAAGAAAATCACTGATCTCTTTGTCACCTCTGCAGAGTTTTCCATCTTGCAGCCATTCACCCAGCAAACCTTTACTGACCACCCACCATGCCATGGGTGGCGATAGAAGCTGAGGACACACATGGTGGGCTCTGTGCCTGTGCTCATGATGGGGCTGAGTTCTTCGGGAAATTGACATGGAAACAGATCAGCCCAGCTGTGTAGTGAGAGTAGCGATGGGACAGATGTCCCTGGAGGAGGGTTAGGGGAGGGACAGCCAGGGAAGGCTTCCTGGAGAAGGGGATCCCTGACCTGATTCTTAGATAATAAGTTGCTCTTCCTGGAGGCAGGGAATAGAAAGGCCATCGCCAGCTCTGGACATCTGAGCTTGGCTTATGCTCTGGCTCTGGTCATCCTTGGGAGGGACATGGGGGGGACATCCTTCCTCTCTCTTCCTAGCCCTGCCTCTCAGGCCTGGGCTCACAGAGTTCACACAGGTCCCTCAGAGGACTGGCTCCAAGGTGCTCAAAGTCCTTAGGGCTCCATGACCCCAGTAGCAAGTCTGCACTGGGTGACTGAGATCACTCTGTCCCCCTTGCTGACCCTCTTCCTCCTCGTCCAGAGGTGCCAGGCACAAGTGTAGCCACCCAGTTGTAGGGCCAGGCAGAAGGGGTTGGTGAAATGCCCAGCCTGGGGTAGGGCAGCAAGCACTGCTGGGGAGTCCACCTCTAAGATGAGGGTCCAGGAGTCCCACAAAATCGTGAATAAGTTTTCATACCTCAGTGCATTTTTCTGGGGAGGAGACAGAAATTTCATTCACCTTGCTAGACCCACAAGGGCAGGGATCTGGCCCTGTTTTGTTCAGTGATATTCCCAAGCAACAAAACAGTACACAGTGGCTCATGCCTGTAATCCTAGCACTCTGGGAGGCCGAGGCGGGTGGATCATGAGGTCAGGAGACTGAGACCATCCTGGCTAACACAGTGAAATCCTGTCTCTACTAAAAATAAAAAATAAAAAAAAATTAGCCAGGCATGGTGGCACGTGCCTATAGTCCCAGCTACTTGGGAGGCTGAGGCAGGAGAAACGCTTGAACCTGGGAGGCGGAGGTTGTGGTGAGCCAAGATCACAACACTGTACTCCAGCCTGGGCAACAGAGCGAGACCCTGTCTCAAAAAAAAAGAAAGAAAAAATGAGTATTTAACAAATGCTTGTTGAATTACGAAGGAGACGAAGAACCAAAGAGGGCAAAGCGCGGCTCCGTGGAAATCCTTGGCTGACAGTGACAGAATGACCCCAAATGGGGCTCATGCAAGTGGCCACTCCCCAGGCTCTCCCAGCTCAGCATGTGGCCTCTAGTCTTGCATCTAGAGGTGAGCTGAGGGTAACAGGACCTCAATGACAAACCCCAAAGGTTACGATCACTGTGCACTTTTTTTTTTTGCAAAGCTTATACATTTACCATATGTGTTAATTTTTAAATCTTCTCAGGGCACCTCTTAATGACCCCCAGGCCTCCCTACCCCCTTCCCAGGACTCGCAGCCCTTCCCCTACCCCCTTCCCAGGACTCGCAGCCCTTCCTCAGAGCGGCATCTGCCAGGGTGGCTGAAGGCTTGAGGGCCCCACCCTGGCTCTGCTGGGGGAGAGGATTTGTGGAGGAGGCCTCTCTCTGCTCGTTTCCTCCCATGGGGCCCTCGGGGAAGATCTTATCGATCCTTTCCCTCTTAAACTGCCATTTGATTGGCGAAATCATAGCGGCTCTTTTGATCTGCTCATATCATTCCTTCACACCCTGTCCCCAGGCAGCTATGGAAAATTCCTGATTAAGATCTCACAGAGGAAGGAGCCTGAAGGGGCCCGGGCTGGTTTCTAGCAGTGCTGTGGTCCTGGGCAGAGTGAGGGGCCCTGACTGTGCTTGCCAAGGGTGACCTTGGGCAAGTCACTTGCTCCTCCCTCCAGAACACCCTGGCCCAGTCAGCTCCAAACTCCCTTCTGCTCTGGAGGGGGACATTTGCTGCTTCAAGAACCCTTTCCTGCCCCTCTGCCTCTCTATGGGTAAGATAGGGTTTTAGCAGGTCCCATGGGAGGGCTTATCGATAGGACATGCTGAGTGACTGTCAGATACCTTGTCCCAAAGCACAGATCCCCAGGAAGGGGATGCTTGCATTTGGATGGAATTTAATCAATTTCAGAAGTGTTTACAGAGGCACTCTTTGATGGTTGGTAGGGACACAGTGCTGGGTCACACACAGTCCCTACCTTTCAGGACTCTGGCTTCCAAGAGAACCCACGGGCCAGGCCCATAGATCTGAGGTTCTATGCCTGGAGCAAAGCCCTTGATTTGGCCAAACAGAGTCTCAGTTCTGGCCGTGTCTGTGTGACCTTGAGCAAGAAACCGACCTGGGAGAGCC